GTTTGAATCCTTCCATGTGTGAGATGACCAGGGCTTGCTTTCTGAGGAACATGTACCAGGGCTGCGTGAATCATTCCATGTGTCAGGTGACCAACCCTCTCTCTGTTCTGAACATGGACTGAGGCTGCTTGGATCCTTCCTCATGTCACATGTCTAGTGAATTCTCCATGATGAACATGGACCAGGGTTGTTGGCATCCTTCCATGTGACATATGAGCTGGACTCTATCTGTGCAGAACATGTATCAGGAGTGTTTGAATCCTTCCACATATCACATGAACTGCGCTCTCTCAATGCTAAATATAGACTATGGCCTCTTAAATCCTTCCATGGGTCACATAAACAGTGCTCTCCATTCTGAATGTAGACCAGGAATGTTTGTATTCTTTAACATGTCAGATGACTGGTATTCTCTCTACTGAACATGGACAATTCTTCCACATGTCAGCTGACCAGCGTTCTCTGTGCTGAATGTGGACCCGGGCTGCTTGGATCCTTTTACATGTCACATGACCAGCTCTCCCTCTCCGTGCTGAACGTGGACCAGGACTGTTTGAATCCTTCTGCATGTCACACGACCAGCACTTCTCTGCTGAACACAGACCAGGCTGTGTGAACCCTTCCACATTTTAGATGAACAGCCCTCTCTCTGTGCTGAAAGTGGACCAGGGCTGTTTGAATCCTTCCACCTGACACTGAACAGCACTCTCTATGTACTGAACAGGGATATCCTTCCACATGAAATCTACTAGTGTTGTCTGCAAAATTTTCAGACCCAGTGCAAAAAGAAAATCTGAGCCCTAGCCAGAAGCGGGGAAGTCAACCCCTCTTTCCCATGGCCTGCTGCCCCACACTGGTGAACAGGCAGATACCAAGGGATCCTGACCTCCTTGCAGGGTGCTGCTCAAAGCTCTATTCTCTGGCCTTCTCAATCATCTTGGCCACCTTGTGCTGCTAGCCTTGGTGTGGATGGATGGCCTTTGCCTTGGCCCAGATACATGATGTTTGGCTCTCTTCTTGCCATGTCAGGATCCCTTTGGGCGCGAAGAGACTAAATGAACCCTTTTGGCAAGAAGAGACTAAGTGACACCCGCCCTTACTCCCAAATATTCTAAGCAGAGAACAGCCATGGTCATGGGACAGGGGTGAGGAGAGGAAGACCAAGAATATGTCTTGGGAAGTGGGGAGGGAATGGAAGGGCAGCCCCGCTGTGAGACAAGAATTCAAGTACCAACTGTCTTGTTAAACTTCACTTAGGAAATACAAATTCCAAGATAAAATTATTAAGAATTCTGTGGCCTTCCAGAGACCCCTAGGGTTACATAAGCATTTTTTATCCCTGCTTGTACTGGGAAAGTAGCTAGGAATGATCTTGTTATAAATACCACTAAGCACAGAGATAGGGTCTTGGGACCATGGTGTGGAGAGAAGGCTGTGCTCCACTCTGAATTACTCTTTGATGTATAGAACAGCAGTTTTCAGGCTGAAGACTGAGTTACTCCATTTTGAGTATATGTGTCAAGTTAGGATGACTCCACACCTTGTTATATAAACAACAAGGTGGTTGAGTCAACAACCACCATCTGCCCAGCACCACCATAAGGCACAAATTGATAAATAACTTATATGTGCCAACTTGTCATACTAAATCAGGAGCACCTGGACATGACAAATCGTATCAGAAATAGCAAATATAGGGTTTATCAACCCTACCAGATGAGAACCCTTCTCTCACTAGAGAACCAAAAATAAAGGAGGATCCCTGGCCCCAGAATGAACACAACAGCACCTTGACCCCATCACCTGGTCGGTCATTCCAGGAAAATCACAATTGCAATTAACTGCCAATTTCCTGTCTCTTTTGAACTTCAGAAAAGCAGTTTCTCCTGCCTGTGATGACCACGCATGACACCTGGAGCACTGTGAAACTGACACTGCTGCCAGTCTGTCTGCACCCTCTGCTTTGATAACTCTGAGGAACTGGTTCTATAAAATCCTTATCCAACCACCTACAGTGATTCTTGGACTCTGCATTTCTGTCTGTGCTCTTGGCTCAGCATCCTGTAAGCCCCTTTCCCTTTCTCAGTCTTTCTGTGACCTAGTTATGTATCACCATGTGAAGTATGTGTGACTGGAGTATTACCAGTATTAGAATTTAAGTTTGTAATGGAATGAAAGAATTTGTGCTTGCCTGGCTTATGTCTCTCAGGTGACCCACAAGTATTCAGAGAACTGCCACTGCTGAAAGTGGTACAGCCCATGAATTTACTATCATTCAGCAAATTCTGACATTGTGGAAAGGCATGTTTGGTCCAGGTTAATGACAGCTCACTAGCAACAGAAGTGTAGTAAAAAATGGGGAGAGAGATGCCTGAGGTTGATCATTCTAATAAAAAAAGAATGTGTATCAAGGTGCAAACACCCATCCAGCTGATGCATAACAAATAGGTAGAGGTATCAAAAGAAGACAAGGTGGGACTTTCCAGTGGGAGGCATGCAAAGACAGCCATGACCCCCAGGAAGATACAGGATGGGGTCAATTTCAGGAGGGGATGATGTAGGCTGAGTGGGCGGGAGAGACTGAGATGTATTTTGAGCCCAACTGAGTTGGTGACCAGAATTTCACCCTACCCCCACCACAGGAAAGATTATTTGCAATTTTCTACTTTTTAATTTTAAAGTTGGGCCCAGAAACTGTGATTTTTTTTGGTGAACAGGCAGATTGTAGTGCTTATGTAGGACAACTCTGTACCTTACAATGTAAGATTCGGGAGTTCTACCATTCAACCCCAGGATAATCTTCCAGAACCATGGCCTAACTCTGTGGTGAATCAAGAGTTAGGGTTGGTTTCACCAATAAGTGCTGATGGAGCCCCTTGACTGTCCCTGTGGCTGAGACCTGAGGCAGAAGGGAAGCAGTACACTGAGTTGCACCTGGGAAAAGGCTGTTCCCCAGACATATTCATGGGTGGTTGAACATTTGTCAGAAGTTCCATATTTATACCATTTTGAGACCTAGGTGGGTTCTAGCCATCTGTATATATAATTTTATATGCCATACAAGTGAGAAGCATCCCCCAGAATACAGGAGAGGCTGGGAAATCAATGGGCCCATATCCTACAAGCACAAAAGACTATAAAGGAATAAAGTTTACTTAAGAGTTTTAAGCTCTCCTCCACAGTTGGCAGGTAGGGTGGGTAGGTATCCCTGCTTGAGAAGTTACCTGCATAGAGAAAAAACAGATCTATAAAGGAACATTTTAGGTTTGGGGATGATAGATAAGATGTAAAGCCATAATTGTTAAAAAAAAAAAAAGTCTAAGTAGGATTCTTGAATGGGGGGGCCACTGGTATTATGGTAAAATTCTGTACTGGTGTCCACACATTACTCATCTGAGAAAAATCAAGATTAATAGGTCATCAAGAGAGGAGATAACTAGCTTGGGAGCTGCTCATCCATGGGCCTCCTCTTGAAGATGTATTTTAGGTCCCCTATTTGTTCACAACTCCCCTTTTGTGGATCCACACCTCCTCTGGGTAAGCTGTCCTCAGTGTGGACTTGACTCAAAAGAGTAATGAATCTAGCTAGCAACACCAGGCACCTTTATTGCTGCAGGGGTAGAAAGAACAATCAAAGGGCCCTTGCAAGGAATTAACTGACATCCTGGAGATCTAGAACTCGATTCCCAAGTGTGCATAAGGCAGGGGCACATGACTATTCCCTTCCATCTTCCTGGTGTCCACAGTCCTGGATGATCTATTAGAATTGATTTAGGGAAGTTGTATATTGTGTTATATTGATGGTTTCAAGTTTAATAGGTCAGAGAATAGGAAAGTTCTGCCACATGGCATTTCAAAGGGACAGAGTTAAAGATAGGCCTTGGGAACATGGAAGAGCCACAGGGAGGATTTCCGCCCAAGACATGAAAGTTTCCTGACAATTACCCAGGAAGAATGAAGATAGTTATTTAATGCCCAGGACTCCGGTCATTTGTTGAGTGATCTGAGATATGAAAGAGGGTCCATTATCACTTTGGAAGACTTGATCTTCAGGACATGCTCCATTTGAGTTGAAGAGTTCCCATCCATTTTGTGAAGGGATCCTCAAACCAGTAGGAATTAATGTCCTTTGCAAGAGGGTAAATAGGTAGTGTCTACTTGCCAGCCCACCCCTGGGTAAGTTCCTCAGCACTGTACAGTGGAATAAGGGAAAGAAGTCTGATATTTAATGGATAATTTGAGCCCAAAGGTGATATGATTGACAAACTTCCTTTATAGTCCTGGAAAGTCCCTTGTCCATGAATTACCTTTTGCAAATTAAGTAACAGCTATCCCATCAAAGTGGCAAGTTTCATGGAACCTTTTATAAGTATCATTGTAGAGACTGAGGGATTTATTAGATAAGGTGGTCCGGTTTGAAAAATCCATTAGGGTCAAGGTTATAATCCTGCACAATCATCCATTCCCTCTACTTTGAAAGGAAGGTACGAGTTCCAACAGAGCAGGATGAGGGCCTCAAAGATGAGCTCTTCCCCTTGCCCAGCAGCCATGTATACCTTTCAATCTGTCTTCTTACCTTTCAGACCCTCCTGCTAATGTCCTTCTGCCTAATCTAACACCCTTATCCAATTTGTTCTACTGTTAATATCTTATAATAGTACACCATACCTGTCAAAACTATGAAATCAACACTGGCACACTAGTTTTAAGTAAATTCCACACTTTATTCAGATTTCACTAGTTTATCATTAACATCATTTCTGTTTGAGGATTTCAGCCAAGATACTACATTTAGTTGCTAGATATCACTCCCTTTGGTGTGACAACATCCTACTTTTTTGAAAGGGGAGGTACTAGGGATTTAACTCAGGGGCACTTGATCACTGAGCCACACCCCCAGTCCTATATTGTATTTTATTTACAGACAGGGTCTCACCGAGTTGCTTAGCACCTTGCCATTGCTGAGGCTGGCTCTGAACTCACGATACTCCTGCCTCAGCCTCTGGAGCCACTAGGATTGCAGGTGTGCACCACCATGCCCAGCACCTTCCTATTTTTCTTGTCTTTTTTTGTGTTGAATGATGATTAGATAACTTATAAAATGTCCATCAATAATCCTGATTTCTTCTCACAGTTTAGGCTAGGGTATGAACTTTGAGGAAGAATAAAAAAGAGAAAGGTGAAGTGTTCTCACATCACATCAGAGGACACACCATCACCACAACTTACCACTGATGTCAGCACTGATCACCAAGTGGTATGTGTCATTTTCCTCCACTGTAATGTTATGCTTCCTTCCTTTTTTCTCATTATACCCTTTGAGATTTACAAAGCACAGACCACACTCAAGGTGGTGTTACAGGGAAGGGGGATTAAATTCCACCTTCTAGGTAAAAATGATTTATTTTTCAAGATGAAAAGTAATTTTTTTAAAATTTCATATATATATGCTAAGCACCACAACAAGTTCATGGTAAACATACAAGAAAATGCAAGTGCTACCATATACCAAAAAAGTAAAAAATAAATTCATGTGGAATAGTGAATATTTTCAAAGAAAAGCAATCTTTGGGCAAAGCACTTTTTGTAGAACAGAATCTGGACAGATGAGAATAGACAGAAAGGCACAGAAGATGGAGAAATTAGCATATTCAAAATGTGGGGGTAGAAAAGGGCAGATTTTTTAAAGTTCAATTTCAGACAAAACATAAGCTTTAGTCCAAAGTCTGGACATGTGCCATACATGCACATATATGGACACCTGACCCAAGGGAAACATTCACTTAAAATCTTCAGTTAAGAACTTTATGGTTTATCACAAATGTATAATGTTATGGCTAATCAGGCTCTCCAAAACCCCTATTTTGAAATCCTAACCTCCTACTACCTCTGAATATGACTGTGTTTAAACACAAGGTCCTAAAGAGGTAATTAAGGGTCGATGACACCATTAGTGTGGGCCCTCATCAAATATGACCAGTGTTTTTTAAGAAAAGTTGACTCAAGCAGAGAGACACAAAAAGAAAACCATCTGAAGACAGGGGGAGAAGACTACATCTATGTGCCAGGGACAGAGGCCTCAGGAGAAACATGGAAACCTGGTCTTGGGCTCCCAGCATCCTCCTAAGTTTTGGTCCTTTAAACCCCCATTCTGTGGTACTTTATTAGGAAAACCCTAGCAAACTAATGTGAATTGTTATTTGGAATCTAAATAAGATGAAATCTAGCAAAACTGGCAAAGTGCAGCATTCATTTCGATGCAGTATTTAAGCCTTGTTATTGAAGAGTTCTTTCAGCTCATTAGCAAGATGAGGTGAGTGAAGATGAAGTCAGAGAAAGTAAGGGTGAAATGCAGTGAACCTCATAGGCAGTGCATTCAAGGTAAAATTTAGCTAAATTTGTCTATTCTGACCCTTACCTTAAAAGCAGTTTTTGCTGACTGAATTCTTTCCCCACATGGTAAGGCAGGGACGGCATGGAAGTTTCTGCAGATCGCTAGGGCACTCTCCTAGTTATTGAACCCTTTTCCCTACCAGCAAGTGCTGCAATGTGCTGCCTCAAATGATCCTCTTTTGTGCTTTCTGTCAGAGAAAAATAAGATGGAAAATAGTACAATTCGGTAAGCTCACATCCAGTACAACAGTGGTCCCAGGCTGATGACCCTTTCTCTGCCCCCCACCTATGCTGAGATCCCCAACCTTCTCAGCAAAGGGCACAGGGGGCGGCTTCCTGCCTGCGCTGCCAACCTGGGGGTGGTGTCACACAAGGGACAGACAGCAGATGGATGGCCTCTGGGCACTTCATACCTCTTTCTCCTTCTGATACGTAACAGACAGGTGAGAACAAGAACTTAAGAGAATAAATCTACAAAATGGGCCCGCTGTGCTTCTTTTCCAACAAGCAGGTGACCTGCAGCCCCGTGTGCCTGCTGGACAGGCCGCGTCACATTCCTCAGGAAACGTCCAACTACCCTGAAGTGGGAGACTTCACAGGCCACACCCCAAGCTCAGAGGGAGTAAGGACAACTCCAGCCAAAACCCGGCAGCAGGGCCAGGGTGCCCAGGGTGCCCAGGCGGCCAGGACCGAGCGCGGCCTGCCGTCAGCCAGCGGGAGAGGCGGGCTCTCCGGCAACTCCCCGGGCGCGGTGCCCGGGCAAGCTGGAGTGCAGCAGGGGCCGCTGCCCCGCTCCCCTGGGCCAGTCCCTCCCCTAAGCGCGCCCTTCCGCAGCCTCCAGGGCACTCCCGCCCGTCGCCCGGAGCCACGTGCCTGGGACCTTTCTGACTCGGTCCCACCATCAGGCTGGGGGCGGGCAGGTCTTCACGGCGCCTCGGTTGCGGGAGGCCTCAGCTCTGCTAACTCCCACCCTGACGCTGGGCGCCCACCGGGGACAGACGGGTGGACGCGGGCCAGACGCTGGCGCTCCACAAACGGCGACTCCAGCGGAGGCAAGAGTGCTGGAAAACGCACAAGAGGACCTCGAAAAGCTAGCCTCACATAAGACATCCTGGGGCCAAAGGTGACCCCTAAACCAACCACCTGCGGTAAACCTTCGCCCCACTTGATTCGGTGAGCCCGCGCTCCTCAGCGGCGGGATTTCATGGTATCGCGAGAATGTCTTGGTCTCGCGCATGCGCATAAGCCTGGACCGGGCGATTGCCCTTCTCTGACCGCAAGCCGCGAGAGGATTTCACAGTCTCGCGACAACTGTCTGCTCTCGGGCACGCACGGGAACCGGGATCCGGCCATCCTCCCGCCCCCGTGGCACTTCCGGCGCGTCACGACTCCATAAGAGCGCGTGCGCGGCGAGTTTCGCCCTTTTGCGTCAGGCGTCGTCTGGGGTGCTGTACCTGCGTCGTCCTGGTCGCCCAGCTCGTAACTGGCCGCAGCTCGTGCCGAGGTGGGAGTGCTGGGGGATCGCGTCTGCGGAGGCGTGTGGGGGAGTCGCGAGGCGGCGGCGGAGGGCCTGGGGTGGGTGCTGCTGGCGGGCCTGCGCCGAACCTCCATGTGTCTTTGGGACCTGTCGGCCGTGGCAGTCTCCCTTCCTAGCCATGGAAGAGCATATTCTTGTTTATTGGCAAAGCTGTCACCATTTAATTGGTATCAGATTCTGACTTGCACAAGTGACATTCTTCACTAGAAAGCGGGAGGATGACGGGTTGTTAGGCAGGCTTCCCTGAAACATTGTTCAGATCCTACAGGAAGCGGCGCCCTGCTGACGAGCGGCAGAAACCGTGACAAGGTACTTTCACATTTATAGAATTTCCGAGTTAATCTGAAACCCTTTATCGCGGCTGCTGAAAAGCTAAAGTTTGCTCGTTCTGCTGGCTTTTTATAACGTTAAGAGTAACTAGGAATACCTGAATTGCTATCTCATTGCTACAATGCTGGTTTTCTTTTCTTGCAGACGTCAAGAAATCCAAAGTGACGGTGGGTAAAGGCCTAAGCAGCATCTTGCAGTGGATCACCGAACTTAAATTTTAGTTGGGGAATGGGTATTTTGAGTAACATTCTGGAAACTATCAGGGCACTATTTATAATATGAGCCTGAATTATTTTGAATTTGTATTTCAGATGCATCCTTGGTATGATTGAATAAAATGGTTCACATGACTACTCGCTGTTACTTGACTGAATTGAATAACAGTGAAGAGATAGAATACTTTGTTTACTGTGCAGAGACTGGGTATAGCATTTGAGGGAAATTTGTACATAAACGTTACCAGATTACCCCCAAGAGAGAGGTCAGTGTCTTGTATCACACAAAAGATTTAGGCAACCGTACATGTTTTGTGCTTTGTTTACTGAATACTCAAAACTTTTTAAAAAAAATCCTTCTTAGGGGCTGGAGTTGTGGCTAGTCTCTCCTAAGAAAAAATCAGCATGGGTTCTACTTCAGAATTGGGCAAACTGCAGGCCATGTGTTCACGGCTCTAAATTTATGGTTTCCTTGTCTGTTTAAAACTTCTTGCACCATCATTGTAGGTTACTTGCAAAGGGCATGTGGTTAAAAAGGTTCGCTACAGGATTGGGTTACTTTCTGGGCTGTAATGCACATCGTCCTAAGCCTTTGTGCAAGGTGTGCCATGTATAGTTAATCACAGAAGAACTATCCCTGAAGAAAGGTCCTGGAGAGAGGGGGAATCTTAAGCAGTGGGATTCTTGGCATAGCAGATGTAAAGAGTTTCAGAATGTGCCAGTCAGGCTGACAGGTCTATTTAGGAAAACATTCGGGGTAGAATGTGGGCCACTTCCAGAGAGGCAGAGATGACACCTGATTGTGTAGGGTGCTGGAGACTGGACTGGAAGTGGAGCCAGGGCACTGGGCATTGCCCTAATGTAATGTTTGCAGATGGGCATGTGGCTCGGGAGTTGGAATTGCTCCTGGGTGTTTTGTGCATTTTAATGGTTCACGAGTACAAGTTTTGTTTTTAAAACCAACCACCTTTTAGAAAGTTGTTAAGGCTGTTCTGGCAGGTGTTAAAATCTTGAAAAGTGATGAAGTACCTGTAGGTTTGCATCCCTTTTTGCAAAAGGGGGCATATGATTTGATTGCAGAAGGGAAATATCTATGTGTAGGCAAATATTTGGTGTTAATAAGAATGTCCTGTAAGGACATTACATCTGTCTCACCCTCCAGGAAAGCTAGCAGGAAACTTGCCTTTAGTTGAGATAAAAGCAGCACTGGATTTTATTTTATTTTTGCACTTTGAATTTATCAAAGTGCACCAACTAGTTCATCTTAGCAGCAGCCTGTTTTCCTCATTTGAAAATGAAGACCTCTGTAAAATCTTATTGGTCTTTAAGCTATTGTATAGCCACTAATTGCAGTGTGATTGAAGTAGGTTTTTAATAGCACAATAGGTAGGAAAAGCATTTTTATTGGTGTATTTTTAATAGGTTGCATTGTACCAGAATTTTGAAGCCAATTATTGGGGAAGTTCCAGTAGGTGGCACTCTTCCAACACAATCCAGAAAACTTTGAGCCTAAAGTTACAGATCTGATGTGGTTGTTAAAGGTTGTTCGAGTGAGTTAACATATCCAGTAAATCAGTTGTATATTCAACTAGTATTTTTCATGTTATCCAAAATTCATAATTTGCTAGTAGCTTACATATAGAACATTTTTCCTCTTGTGTTTGTTGCTTGGTTCTTAACAAAGATAAAGTATCTTTGTAGCAGATCACTTCATTGGACATTCTAGTAAAGGGTACCTTTAAGATCAAATGTGGGTATGATTCCATACATTATGCTGACTCATAAGGACTTAGTCCAGGCAAATGTAAAACATCTTTATTGAAAATAATCTAGAGAATGTTAAGAGTTGCTCACTGAGTAACAAGAGTTACTCACTGGTGTGGTGACACATGTCTGTAATCCCAGAGGCTGAGGCAGGAGGATGCCAAGTTTAAGGCCAGCCTCAAGGGCTAGGGATGTGGCTCAGTGGTTAAGCATCCCTGGGTTAAGTACCTGCTACCAAAAAAAAAAGGTAAGAGAAAGTTTACTTGGGTAAAATTTGGGTAGGTAACAATGCTAAAGATAACACTGAGGTATCTGAACCAAAACTTCACAAAGTCTCAAAATCAGCAAAGGTACACAATTTCTATAAACAAATATCAAGGAACATGAAACCCTCACAGTTGTCATCTGGTTTACAGGTAAAGGTTGAGGTTAAAAGTTTTTCATAAGTTCCTTTTAATACTATTTGTTCTGAGGTTTCCAGAATCACAGTTTAGTGATGCTTTTTATCCAAGGTACAAAGGCTGAAACTTTGGTGTAAACACCAGGGGAGCCCTTGACTCCACAGCCATACCCCCAGGAAGTCACCCCATACACAACCCAGCTTTCTCCAGGCCTCTTGCACATGAGTGGTCCCCCGCTGTCTCCCTGGCAGCTGTCCACACGTCTGTGTTCCTGGAGGTTTCCAGCACAGAGCATTCTCCCTGTAAACCGACCCTTATACCGTTCTTCACAAAACCTCTTGGGAAGTACAGGGATGGCTGCTTGTTGTAGTGTCCTTGAATAGGCTCGTCCTACTCAGACCAAATATCCATATTAATCAAGGAGATCCAGCTACCAATCAAGTTTAATGAACATTTCAGTCTCCAAAACAAACCCCTGTTGTGACATTGGTATAGTTCAAAGTGAGTGATAACTATAAGTGGCATGTAATGTCATTAGAGGCCTTTCTGATTGTCAGCACTTAACCTTCACACATACTGAATTTTTGAGGAATAATGAGTAACATTTCTGAGTTTGGTAGCAGAGAAAGGTAACCTGGAGAAAGCACATTCATGTGCGCTTTAGTTGTTGAATTCTGTACAATAAAAAGCTAAATTCATGCTGATTTTGCTTTGGCACATTTGAGAATCACCTACTTCACTGAATTTGAGGATTAAATATAAATGCAATAATATAAAATATAAGGTGCTAAATGGGACTATGGCATTGTATAAGGATGACTCAGCTAAAATACCACACATCCTTCTCCATACATAGTTGACACCTAGTGCAGTGCACTCTGCTTGTTGGTAAACCATTCATTACTTTGCTCAGTAGCTTAAATGTATGATAGATAATGTCCTCGTTGTTATCCTAGTTTGAATATAGATTTCATCATATTCTCTTATCCAGTTAACTAAATTGGAATAACTAGGACACACACACACACACACAAAAAAAAAAACCCACCATATAAAATTTACTTCCTTGGTCATTTCTATTAATTCAGATGTGATATCAAAGGACTGATTCCCTTATGAAGTAATGGACCTGGTCCTCAGTGATGTGATGTGCTTAGAGATCAGCACAGTACATTAGGAAGGCCTGTATCTTGACCCTAGTGAGACTGATGTCTGTTTCAAGGCCTATCCTGAGCAAGCACTAGCTGACAGTGCCTAAACTCTAGGCAAGACAAGGCCAAGAAGAATCCAGCTGAACACGATTCTTGCTTTGGGGTTGCAAGTGAGGAGAATGGGAAAGAAGGATGAGGGAGAAAGTGTATTTCCCTTAATCTCAGCCTCCACTTGGCACCTCGACTTTTGTCCGATCTATACTTAGCTTGATAAAGAAACTATTTAACACCAGATCCTTTTGCTAGGCCAAATACATCATTGTCATATGGGGAGCTTTTTAAAATAGACTATGTGGCCTAAATCGTGGGGTATGGTATTGAAATCTCTTCCCTTGTCCTCTCACCAGTCAGATAAGGATATTCTCCACTCCTAAGGCCCACTAGCAACTGAGTTCTCTCAGTTTGAATTCTAACTGGAACTAACAGTACTCTTAAAAATGAATCTAGATTACATGCAAACATTTCACGCCTAAGAATTTCCAAGCAGCTAAGCCTGAACCCATTTACGATCTTCCTGCCGACTGGATAATAGCAGACAAGCCCAGCCTTCTTGTCTGTTTCTCGGTGAGCTTATATTACCTGTGTCTCCCCAGCCTGTTATGTAGCAGTTGGAGGCTGTCTTCTGTGGCCGCTCTCTCTGCAGTGGCAAACAGGCTGGCAGAACATGGCTGCTGAGTCTGGCACACTGCTCCTCTGGTCCTTGCAGTCTGACCAGGGCGATGTCATGGTCACTGCTGTCTGGTCGGTACTGCTGATGCACCACAACTTGCTGCACTCCAATTTCTTCTTCAAACTCTTCCAGCACCAGAGTATGATAATCCCCAACCCGAACAGCATAGTTCCTGGAGCTGTTGCCATACCTGAGAGACAGAGCTAATGAGCAGCTGGTTTTCAGCATGAAAACTGCCAGCGGAGTTGTGTAAAATTCAGTTCCAAATCATCAGCCCCTTTTGTGAATTCAACATTTCCTTTCATTCCTTTAACCCACTGCTGCTGACCCTCTCTGTCACCACCTCCCGTCTTCATTTCACCTGAAATCTAGATTACCACCAAGTAACTCATTTTCTGAGAAGAAGCAAATGTGGAGAATGAGTGGGAAATGCAGACCAAACATCAACAAAACAGAAATGAAGAGTACAGGGCAGAATTATTGTCCTGCATTTGCCGCCTTTGTCTTCTGTCCCTTCAGGATCTTTAGTTTATCCTGAAACTCCATAGAGCAGAAACACACATGACCTAACTTGATATCCCTCAGAGCTCTTGGTGCCACCCACCTACTCCTAGTGAGGACTAAGAGAATAAGTTCACTGCCTTTCCTGTGAACCAAGCGGGAACCCAAACCGTGTTTTCAGGTCAAGGTGCATTCATTACGTTCTCAGCTTCTTTACTGAGACATCACCTCAGTGAAGCCTCCTGACACACTCATGTTAAACTGCAACCCACGTTTGTCCGCACACTCCCTGAACTACAGTATACCTAATTGCTCCCCATTTCCTTTCTGACAGACTATGTAGTTCACTGTTTATTATATTTATTGTTCTCTGTCTTATTCCAGTTTTTAGAGGTAATGCTTTCAATTTTTCTCCATTTAGAGTGATGTTGCCCTGGGGCTTAGCATAGACAACTTTTACAATGTTGAAATATGTTCCTGTTATTCCTAGTTTTTCTAGCCTTGAACATGAATGGGTGTTGTATTTTGTTGAATGTTTTTTCTGCATCTATTGAGATGATCATATGATTCTTATCTTTAAGTCTATTGATGTGATGAATTACATTTATTGATTTCTGAATGTTGAACCATAGGGAATCCCTATCCATATCCCTTTAATTTCTTTCATCTACAAGTCTATTTTACCACACGCACATTAGATAGAGCACTAATCTCTAGGTTATATAAAGAACTCAAAAAACTTAACACCAAAAAAATAAAAAAACGAAACAAAACCAAATAACCCAATCAATAAGTGGGCCAAGGAAATGAACAGACACCTCTAGGAAGATGATATATAATCAATCAACAAACATATGAGAAAATATTCAACATCTCTAGCAATTAGAGAAATACAAATCAAAACTAACTCTAAGATTTCTTCTCACTCCAGTCACAGTGGCAGCTATTAAGAATACAAACAGGCTAGGGATGTGGCTCAAGTGGTAGCGCGCTCGCCTGGCATGCGTGCGGCCCGGGTTCAATCCTCAGCACCACATACAAACAAAGATGTTGTGTCCGCCGAAAACTAAAAAATAAATATTAAAAAAAAAAGAATACAAACAACAATAAAGTGTCGGAGAGGATGTGGGGGAAAAGGCACGCTCATACATTGCTGGTGGGACTGCAAATTGGTGCAGCCAATAAGCAAAGCAGTATATTCCTTAGAAAACTTGTAATGGAACCACCATTTGACCCAGCTATCCCACTCCTCTGTCTATATCCAAAGGACTTAAAAACAGCATACTACAGGGACACAGCCATATCAGTGTTTATAGCAGCACAATTCACAATAGTTAAACTGTGGAAGCAACCTAGATGCCCTTCAGTAGATGAATGGATAAATAAACTGTGGTATATATACACAATGGAATATTATTCAGCATTAAAAGAGAATAAAACCATGACTTTTGCAGGTAAATGGATGGAGTTGGAGAATATCATGCTAAGTGAAGTCAGCCAATCCCAAAACACCAAAGGCCAAATGTTTTCTCTGATATGTGGATGCTGAACCATAATGGGTGTAGTGAGGGAGCATGGGAGGGATGAAGGAACTTCATATAGGGCAAAGGGGGAGGCAGGGGAAGACATGGGGGTAGGAAGGATGGTAGAATGCGATGAACATCATTACCCCAAGTACATGAATGGTGTGACTCTATACGACCAGAGATGTGAAAAAATTGTGCTCTATATGTGTTCTATGAATTGAAATGCATTCTACCATCATGTATAATAAATCAGAATAAATAAATAATTTTTTAAAATATTTATTATTCTCTATCTTTCCTTAAGTAACAGTTATTGCGGGTCAGAAATCTTTATCTGTGGCATTCACTGAAAAATCTTAAACATCTGGAACATCAATGCCTCCTTAATGAGGAATGCAACTTGTTTGGTGATTCTGTGAATGGACGGATGTTCACCTTTGGTGTGGGCATTCTTTATTCCATGAGAAGCTATGTCAAGAGCCATCCATGGGCTGTGTGTGGACTACGTCGGCATGGCAGCCCCAGTGAATAGAAACAGCTGGTGTTCGGGAACACCGAACTCCCATGGAGTCCTACAGAGTGAGATTGCGCAAATACATGTAAATTTCTATTCCACTCTGCCTAGTCCCACACAGCACCCAAGAAAGGGTGACCTGCTACAACCACCTGGCCACACAGCCTCTCAGAGATGGGTGTGATCTGCCAAGATGCCAATCAACCTGCTGAGGGCAAGACATCAGAAGCAAGACTCCACTTCTGAAACCTTATCCCTGCCTTTGATGTACCCCCTTAAATAAACCACAGGAGCCATTTTCTAGTTGTCTACCTCCAGCTCCTGTGTGGATTGGACCTACCAGGGGTTCCATCCTTTAAAACTATTTTTTCTGACTCTGTGTCTTTGTTCTTTACGAATTATCCTAGACTTTAATTTCTTAGGTGGCTTACATCCTCCTGAGCAGGGAGAAGAGCCCTCTAACGAGGTGCTAGCTGCCTCCCCATAAAGCTCTTTGATTCAAATAGAAACACAAAATTCACTAAATTGAAAACTCTCAAGCCTGTTTTTTAATCAACATACCTTGATTCTGACACATCAACCTAAAGCAGGATTTCTCGATGCCAACACTTCACATTTTGGGCCAGATAATTCTTTGTGGTAAAGGCAACTGCATCAAGGGGTGTTTACAAGCTTCCCTGGTCCTATTCCCTAGATCCATCAGTGCATATACCCACTATTCCCTGCTGTGAAAAAAGCCTCCAAATACTGTCAGATGTCGCCTGGGGTGAAAGAAGCCCCATTGAGCAAGATGCTGCTCAGATGCTGCTTGGTGCCCTGGGCACTGGCTTTGCTCACTGAGAGTCCCAGCACCTTGCATGCTTCTTGCCTCAGCCACCCGTGCAGCGCACCTCATGCCTGCACTCTCAGCCCTCTCACGATATGCAACGAGTGTGTTCTCCACCTCGTCCTGCCTTGCAGCTCACATCTACCCCTCCCCCCACCTGCTCCTTAAACCTTCCTGCCAGCCCCACACCCGTTCTGCCAACTGCTCCCCTTTCTACCTGCTCCTTAAACCTTTCTGTCCAGTCCCGTATCTACCCGCTGCCCCTCCCTCTATAGCTCCACAGCCAACAGCACACTGAGCATCGGGTCTCCAGCACACTCAGGCTCCCCTCAGTGCTGCCCTGTGTGACTCCCTCCCTGTCTGCCTGGACCCTGCTGTCCACTCCCACAGTCACTCCTCTGCACGACGACAGTCCTTTCCTTGTGCCGGCCACTGCAACCCTGGCTTCATCGACTCTCCACACGCTTGATGCTGACATCAAATGCTTACAGAGAAAAGTATACGCTTAACAACCCTCACCTCGATTTTTGACAGAAGCTTGTGAGGCTTCCACTATTCACAGGACCTCTCCTTGAATGTGTACTGGATTAGGGTGTGTTCAGAAGCTTTTGAGTTTTCTGGTGACTGCCTATTTAAAATACAACCTCCCTTTTCCTCCAGGTTGTGAGATGCTCAAACATCCTAGTAGCCCACCTAGGCTCTGGCCTCCTGATGGATGATTTACTAAACTGAACCAGTTCAAAGAAGTAAGCGATGCAACACAGAGGATGGGCTCGTGCAGCCACCTACTACGGATGGATAACCTCTTTGCTTTCTACCTTTCATCTTCACTATTACAACAGCCTCATCACTGTTCTTCCTTTGGAATAAACACAGACCTGGACTCTCACATGCAGTCCTTCCTGCTCTTACTGAAGTGGGCCTTCTGCTTGGTAAAACAGACAAATTTGAGTCATTGCATAAAAAGGCATACAAGTGCATTGCAAAGATGTTTCATATCATTTCAAGCTCACTGTCACACCCTTAGATGTCTGTCCAACATGAGACCTGTCTCACACATCTCCAAATGACTCTTCTCCACAAACACCTCTTAATCATATTTCAAGGTTCAGAAAACCGTGATCTCCCATGGCCTAGTGAATGAAACAGAAATCTACAGCCTTAACATCCTAAGTCTTTTCCCTTGTCTCTTCTAAGTCACTATATACATCCCAGGTCTGACAACCTAGCTAACAGTACCATACCATACCATACCCACATACTTCCCAGTTCTGATACCCTAACTCACAATACCAGTGCCAAACTCTGCTCTTCTTCCATTGCAGCTCATGTCTCTCACCACTGCACTCTAACATTGGATATTGTCCATCACCAGCCTCTACTGCTACACAAATCCAGCCTCTTTGTTAAAACAGATCCCATAACAAAATAATTTTCCTCCCACATATATAGCTCATTCCATCTTTGAACTGTTCTAGTGTTAAATACAAAATAACTACAAATCTCCCCTCTGTACCTGCCTGTCCTTCAAGATTCACCATGCAGCTCCCCTCACTGAGCACAGTTCTCCCTTACGAGATATGACGTCCTCACAGCAGCTAGAGCAGGGTAAGAACAGGCAGCACTGCTCTGAGGGTGCTGCCCAGGCTGAGTTAATTGTGCAGCAAACTCACAGCACTGCTGACTTGTATTAGGGCTGCAGGACATCAAAGCTCAGAGGTCTTCCACATGTGCTGTATTTAAGGAGGCACTGTGCTCATCCTTATTCCATGTTGCTTATTAGAATTGGCCTAGCAAATCTGCAGCACCGTGAGCCTGTCTTCAGACATTTATATCACTCATCTCTCCCAGCCTTCTGGCACACAGACTATAATTCATTTACCAAGGGAGCCTTTCTCAGTCTAGCAACTGGGGTACTGAACAGGCAGCATCCGTCAGCTCCATAACATTCTTCCCATCACCATCCTCCAAAGGTCCAGATCATATTCTAGTCTATCAATGGAGCAAGCGGTTCTTAGCCTTGGAGCCCAAAGGAACCAGAGATGACTGATCAAGTGCCAGCCCCAGAGCTCCTGTGGCTGTGCAGTAGGCAACCAGGAACCTCGACGTCTAATGTATAGTACTACACAGTGACAAAAGCACTCTTGTGGGCCCTATGCACTTGCTGGTCATAAGCAACATAGATGTCTCCCTCCTCTGGACTCTGCAGCCACATCATACACTCCATGATAGCAGAACTTCACCTGTCTCAGTCTCCACTGCACCATGAGTGCACAGCGTTTACTGGGCCTCAGGGGCTCAATAATTGTTTAAGTTAATGAACAAATATAATCTTTATTACCTGTGCTACTCAGGTAACACAGGAATGCGTTAAGCCCACTGGCATGTAGCAGCATTCTCACACTCAATTATATCCCAGACAAATATGATATAAAATGTAGATTTATATTTTTGGCAACACCTTGAATAGATTACTTCAAAAATATTTATTGAAACAGATAAGTGGAAGTGACTAGAGATCCTAGAAACAAGAATATATGAGAATTTGATATATGACATAGTTCACATAAACTAGTGGGTAAATAATGGAACATTCAAAAAAAAAGAAGTGTTGGGAAGACTATCCACAAAGAAGAGTGTGAAAGTTGGCCCCTTCCTCACACCACATGCCATACACAAAAATAAACTTAACAGATTGAAAGTCTAAATATTAAAAGCAAAACTATAAATTCTTTAATTTTTTTTAGTCATGATGGACAAATACCCTATTTTGTTTATTTATTTTTATGTGGTGCTGAGGATTGAACCCAGGGCCCCAACACGTGCTGCGCCAGCACTCTACTGCTGAGCCACAACGTCAGCCCAAAACTATAAACTTTTTAGAAAAAAGTAAAAATATCTTTATTAATGTGAGTCTAGGGAAAGATTTTTAAAATGAGATATGTAAAGCTTTTACAAACTTTAAAGGAAAATGAGACTTTTCAAAAATTGACATATTTTCATAAGAAAAGAACCATAAACAAGTAAAAGGGATAGTCCAGACTGGGAAAAGTTCTGGACATATCAGAAATGACTTTATATGCAGAATAGTGTTTAAGTCAACTACAAAAAAAGATAATACAATAGAAAATTGGCAAAGGACATGAACAGTAGAGTTCATGAAAGAGGGAAACAATAATCAGGGAAATGCAATTTAAAAGAAACTCCAAATCTCTAAAATTAGCAAAAATTAAAATTTCTGGTAGTATCAGGTTCAAGCGGAAAGATCAGGCAGAACCTTCCACAGTGCTGTGTCGTGAATGAATCCAGTTTCTCTTGAGGACACCTGGCAGGGCCTCACTGAACTGAAGGGAGCCTGGCACCTCAGGACCCAGCACGAGGCTCCCACACGCGCCCTGGTGAGACACGGCATACTGCGTATTCTACTGAATGGTGCTTTAGCAGTCAGTCAATGGGAATCACCTAACTATCCACCCATAGGGGATTCAATAAACTGGATAAGTTTTACAGCAGAAGTGAAAGTTCATATGGCAGCTGAAGTGAATGAACAAAATCTACACAGTAGTCTGCAAAGGTACATGCCTTATGAGGGCATGTGAGAAAAAGAATGTAAGCTGGGCACAGTGGAACACACCTGCAGTCCCTGAAGCTCTGGAGGCAGAGGCAGGAGGATTGCAAATTCAAAGCCAGCCTCAGCAATTTTTTGAGGCCTTAAGCAACTCAGCAAGACCCTGTCTCAAAAATTTAAAAATAGATAAATAAAAAGGGCTGGGGGGTTCAGTGGGTAAGCGCCCCTGGGTTCAATCCCCAGTGTGAAAGAAAAAAAAATGTAAAGCAAAATTTTGCTTGGAAGAAATCATCAACCATACAATGCATATTCTTTTGAAGATTTTTATTATGACACTTTTCCAACACACAAAGTTAAGAGTATAACCAAACACCTCATTGACATCACCTTGCTTCAGTGATCACGTTTTGCCAGGTTTAGTGTGTATTTTAAATACACCCCAAAGTTCATGCTGAGGCAATGGCCACCCTCTAGAGCCCACAAAGAGCCCTGGATGAGGGGAGAGGAGTCAGTCCTCCTGCAGGCTTCCTGCAGGGTCTCCCCTTGGAACCAGGAAGATAGGATTGACTAATGAAGTATTGGAAATAAGAGGAAATAATCAGGACTAAACCAGCATGAAAGCCAAGGATAAAATGGAAGCAACCTGCCTTTCTAGAAGGTACACACAGAGAACTCTCAGACAAACCACCAAGAAGACAGAAGCCACTCAATGAGGAGGCCGCCCACCCACAGCTGAGCATCCTCTCTCAGCCTTGAATAAGGCGGAGTGTTTGGTCTGGCAAGAAGAAAACAGCGTCTAAGCTGCCAGAACCGCACTCCTGCTCCTTAGTGTCTTTATTGACAAAGCAGCTTTTATATCTACCGGCTGTGATTCACCTCAGGAAAGCATCGCCACAGCTGCCTCCCTGCCAAGCCCATGATCTCTTCTCCCCAGACCCAGATCTCATGTAACATGAGCCTGCAAGGTGCTCCTTCTGTCACCCCTCACTCCCGCAAGCTGAAGAAGCATCCATCAGACAAGGCTCACAGCCCAGCTCTGACACCCAGGTCCCAAAGCAGGAGGGTGCTGGCAAGGATGGACACATACCTCTTGAAGCAGTGAGCTGCCGTCAGGACCCAGCAGCTGCTGAGAAGCGTTGCCCCGCACAGGAGCCTGCCACCTCCATGGGGTGACTTCAGCCGGAGGGAAACCTGCCAGGGCCAGCCACCCCTGAAAGAGAGGGAGCCACATGCCCATAAAAGACAAAAGATCCAAAGAAAACCCTCAAAGTGATGGCTCTGATGGCCTGTGGTGTGAGGAAGCAGACTCCAAAGAGACTCAGGAGGCCAGCTGCCTCCAACCTGGAGAAGGTTTCCAAATAGCAGCAGCCCTGGGGAGGTGCCAAAGGCAGGTAGTAGGTGCCACCCAGCATTCTGGGACACATGGGGTGTGAGCACAGTCCTCTCCCCTAACCCAAGCAGGCTGAAGACCTATTTAGTCAACACAGTGCTGGCCTGCACTCAGCAACCAAAGATTTACAAAGAAACGAGCCAAATCAGATACATTATTCTAAATCAAATGCATTCCACATTTTTCCCAGGTCTCTGTTACATAATTTTGTTTCTATCATGCCACTTTTCAGCAACACATCTATGACATAAATCATAGGATAATGATGTAAGAACATGGTCTGTATCAATCAAACGTAGGTAAAGGACAGGGCAGTTAACAGTATAAGAGTACTTAGTTTAGAAAATAAAATGCATAGAACAATTCCCATGTAACAGCAGAAGAACACAAGTTGCACTCTATAATGTGGAGAATCTCCTTTGAAGAACCTTTTACCTTAAAGAATTTTTTCCACCAATGATGCGCTTCTGCCGATGGTGCAACAATCTCAGACCACAAACAGCCGAGAGGGGCTCTGCAGCAGAAACAGGCCATTAATTCAATCACGCTGCTGAGAGGGGGAGACATGTAAGCCAGCAGGTATTCTGGTTTAGATGAGGGGACCCCAAAGCTCCTGTGAGATAGTTCAGGAAGGCTTGGGGGTGAAACACCTGAGTTTGAGAGTCTGAGCCCAATCAGTGCATAATCCCCTGAGAGGTGTTACCAGGTGCGGGCTATAGGCAGGTGGGTGTGGCTGGAGGAGCTGGTCACTGGGGCTTGCCATTGGGTGTAGAGTTCGACCCTGGTGAGCAGAGCTCTCTCTTTCTCTGTTTCCTGATTTCCATGCCCTGTCCTGCCCTCCTTCTCCACCACCTCCTACCATGAGGGCCCAGAATATGGATCCGGCCCTCTATGGACTTAGACCTCTGCAACTCTGAGCCAAAGAACTTTTCCTTGTCAGGTCTTTTGGTTGCAGCAGTGGAAAAGCTAACAAATTAGATCATTAATTAGATATCACACTGCTAGAGGGTAAAAAAAAAAAAAAGCTACGTGACATATTCCCCTATTACTTTCTTCTCTATTGTAACATTCCTTTTTTCTGCAAATTATAGGAAACTTTTTATGATAATAAAAGCAAGTTTTCTCACTTAAACAAATGACAGTAATGTGCGAGCAGACAAGTTTGATGGATCTCTGGCATTCATCTGTGCAGTACTGCATGGGCTGCTGAACAGCGTGAACCTGCCTAGCTCACCTCCTCTCTGATCACAGAGGTTGTCTTTGGTTCAGGAACATTAGGGGCAGGGAGGACTGCAAAGGCAATCATGGCTTAAATTAGCTCCCACATACAGCTCGGATCCCAGCCACACATAAAAATGTAGCTCAGAGGAGCAAAGCTCTCTACTCGGAGAGACTTTTGATCTGAATGTACATTTGCTCACAAACTGCATTAGCATCTAAGAGCTTGGTGAGTGAATTCAAGTGGTAAACTATTCATGAGTGTCAGTCAAACGTTCCACCTCTGTCAAGAATTTACAAGAGTCAAGTTAGAGACATGAAAGGTGGCCTACAGAAGAAGTGCAGACATAACAAGGCACAACTATTGGGGGGTCCTGGGATTGAGCCACACCCACAGCCTTTTTTGTTATTTTTGTTTTGAGACAAGGTCTCACTAAGTTGCTGAGGCTGGCATGGAACTTGCAATCCTCCTGCCTTAGCCTCCTGAGTCACTGGGATTACAGGTGTGTACCATTTGACCTAGCAGGAGGTATGGCTGATTTTAAAAATAATCTTACAAAATAGAATTTACCCTGGGCTAGTTGTTTCTTTGGTTAAGTATAGGAACATAAAGTTCAGCAGCACGCTGTTCTCAGTGGATAAGGGAAGGGCAGGAACTACGCCAGGGTCAGGGTACAGCAAGGTCTTCCACAACACCCAGGCACAGGGAGCCCAACAGGGAGTCCCCAGGAGCTATTTCTTGGTAGAGAAAGAGTTCAACAATGTGTACCAAGAGGAGTAATCTGCCCAGTTATCTCAGAGGCATGTCGTCTAGACCTTGACCTTCAGCTCTTAGAAATGAGTCACAGCTGATTCTGTGAATCATAATATGGTAGAAAAACATGCATTCCCCATAGTGAGCACCCTGGTTGGGTCGAGACCAAGCCAAGGACAGGAATGGCGGAGTCTGAGTGAGTAAACTCAAAGCTCATGCCAGGAGAGCTGCCCACTGTCACAGAGCAAGAGGTGTTACTTTTTGACAGGTCTCTGGGGAAGCCAGGCCTGGCCCTGGACATGAGAGCCAGACCCATGATTCCCTGACCTCACTCCTATGGGAAACATCTGTTCCTGAGCCGGGGGCCCTGTCTGCAGGAGGCACGGAGGCCCTGAAGGCCCCAGACAGATACAGCAGTGAGGAGACCACAGGCCGAACCACGGGGATGGGCTCAGGTGGATGCTCCAGGGTCATAGATTTTTATGTCTCCTTCAACTGCTTTAGAAATTTGACATGATGCAAAGAACCAGGCAAGTGTGGTTTAAACTACTGGACAGCACCCAGTAAGACGAGCTTACCACGTGCCGCCAAGAGCCGTGGCTGTGAAGAAGCACAGAGACCACACCAGTCCAGGCTGCACAGTCCCCGTCAGCTACCGGAGGTGCAAAGAGAGTGCCCTACGGTCAGCTGGAGAGCTGACCCTCCTCCTCACTCACATCCTGGGATTCCTCTGAAATGGCTGGCTTCTCACTCCCTCCCTCCCAGAGATCCTCAGCTCACCAAAGTGGAACACACCAGGTCTCTTTTGACTTCTGAAGTACCAAGGCCTTACTGTGCTTGACTAACACTGAAATATTTTCTCATTTTCCTTATGTTTTTAAATTTCAGAGAACAGAATCCACAAGATGCAATTTTTTTCTTTTTGAAGTTAGTTATAAAAATCCCCCCCCCCGATATTTAAAATATTAAGGAGTAAAGGGGGGTGCTGCAGGAGCCCTGGCTGTAAAGAAGAAGCACAGAGACACACCAGTCCAGGCTGCACAGTTTTCCATTCAATTTTCCGTTCTTTCCTTCTTAGGAAGTAGAAGAAAATGAACCCTCAGGGGTGGTCACAAGCTGACAGCTTTGTCAACAAGTTGTGACATGAAAAGGGCTGAGAGTCTACAAGCTGACCCAAGACCAGAGGGCCTGTCGGGCACCCCCGCCTCGGGCCTGGCCCGCCCCTGCCCATGCTGCACACACCAACACAGGGCGCAGGGGACCAGACCTCCTCACTGCCTGGGCTTTGCTGACAGGGTGCTGGGCAGTCAGAGGTGGGCACTGGGCACTGGACTCTCTGGGTCCCAGGAGGAAACTCACCTGTACTACTGCTGCCCGAGGTCTTCGTGCCAGAGTAATCACAAATAACCCCTGCGTCTTCGCCATGTCGACAGTTGTGTCTCCCGAAGTCTCGCTTGACACAGTCGGCCAAGGTCCTCTCTGTGCCCGTGCACCTCACGTTGTCCATGTGGATGGGCCCTTTCCCTTCTCCAAAATAAGCCATGGTTCTTGCTCTGGCAGGACCCCTGGAAGGTGTGGAGAATCACAGCAGCACAGATCACAACATGCATCTGCACCAGGAAGCACTTACTGCAGGATTCCAAAGCTCCTCAAGGAGGGGTGACTTCCGCCTCCCCCACCCACGCACCCAGAGCTGTGCACAGGACCAGCCACCTCCAAGTCAACCAACTCAGTTCAGGAAATCACACTGACCGGCAGGTCAAAAATGATATCATGAACACCAAGTAGGAAAAAAAGCACCCTAAAAATCTCCTCCTTTCTAAGAGTATGATATTCTCTTTAAATCGGTAAAGTATGGCCAAGATAATCACAAGATTAAATGATTAGCAGGAACCCAAGGACAAAGTTTTCGCCTCTTTTAGAAGTAAAAAGCACAGTTCTTCTCTTCTTAACAGAGAACAGAAAATGGAAATCAGAAGTAGAAGGAGAACTTAACTTTTGTCGTATTTCTATTTTGTTTTAATGGCACATTACTTTTTAAAAACGTACAAATCCAAAAAACTTTTTAATAAACTAAAATATTTTAAACTAAGACTATATTTGAAACTCAATTTCTAATAAATTAATAAACATAACTATAAAAGTTGAAAGATTTTTTTAAGTTTGAATTACAGGAAAACTATTCATAAAATCTCAACTTAGGAAAAAATTATTAAAACACTACAGAGAGAGGATAAGCTATATATAAAGATATTGATAAATTCAAAATAAATAAAGGATGCCACTTTACTAAAAGCCCCCCTAAGCAAAGTGAAAGATTAATTTAAAGTTGTACCTATGATACACAGTTACTAATGCATTTGTTGGTGAATATATTTTCTGAGAGAGGAAATTGGCACACGTCTACACTGCTGTAACAGAACTCCCAGACCTCCTTTAAAAAATAAGAAAAGCGATCACCCAAGAGAACAATAGGCAAGAACAACTCCACAGGGGCATGCCGCTCGCTGATGGAAACCGAGGGAAGAGGAGGGGGAGGACCTGAACAGCGACGGTCCTGCCTCTGGGCACCAGTTCCAGCTCTGATTGTATCAAAGAAACGCATGAGTATTCACAGCCGTCTGGATCTCCAAGAGCAGACTAGAAAGAGTACTGCGGGTTTGACTATCCTCCTCAAACTCCAGTGCCGGTTAATGCCCTTGCGTCAAGTGGGCTCCAGTGGGCTTCTAAGGGATGACTGGGCCTTGCCACTCTGCCCCTGTGAACGGAGGAACCCACTCATGGGTGAACGGGTCATCCAACAGCGAGACTGCTTTAAAAGCCAGCTTCGCGCTCTCTTTTAGCACTCTTTCCACAGGACACCTGGCACCACCACACGACTCCATAGTTCCCGCCAGCAAGAAGGCCCCCACCAGGCAAGGCCCTTCTACTTTCTAGCCTCTAGATCTGTGAGCTGAACGAACTTTTCTTCTTTATAAATTATTGGGTGAATCAACAGAAAACAGTATCAATATAATAAAAAACAAGCTGGATATCAATACAATTTAATTTTTTTGAGGGGGGCGGGTACCAGGGATTCAACTCAGGGGCACTCAACCACTGCCCCAGCCACATCCCCAGCCCTATTTTGTATTTCATTTAGAGACAGGGTCTCACTGAGTTACTTAGCACCTCACTTTTGCTGAGGCTGGCTTTGAACTCACAATCCTCCTGCCTTAGCCTCCCAAGCCACTGGGATTACAGGCGTGCGCCACAGAGTCTGGCTGATAAATATTATAGAACAAAATAACTATGAGTTACTACAGCTACTTGCATCAAGAGAAATGAACTTCAAAAGCAATACTGAAAAGAAATCACAAGTAACCAAAGAACCTAAGAGAGAATACTTACTTTCCAAGAGTAGATTTCTAAAAATAGACAAAACTGTCATTTAAGGATGTAACTTGTTCTAAAGTTATGAAAAACTCAAGGCGGTTTTTACTTTGCATGGTGAAGTGAGGAGGGTGGGACTGGCACAGGTGGAGCTGAAAGGTACAGTAATACTGTTTCCTAGGCCACCAGTAGGGGCAGGGTTGCCCAATTTCATGGAGAAAATAACCTTATACAATGTCTGTAGGACAAAGAGTGTTTTCTGTTTATATATTTTTGAATGGATAGAAAAGAGAATCAAATCACTATATTTATATTCCACTGGATACCAAAGAACGATGTTACTGTTTTTATTTGAAGGGTCATATACACATATGTCAGAAATCAAATCCTTTGCAGGTTTTTACAAGTAAGATACAAATTAGACATTTAATATTAGATTGCTACTAAAATGCTGAGGGCATGCCATTTTAAAAATTCTTTTAAAGAATACCACCCCAGGGCTCAGGCTGTATGTAGCTCAGTGGCAAAGCGCTTGCCTAGTGTGCGCGAGGCACTGGATTCGATCCTCAACACCACATATAAATAAAAAACAAATAAAATAATGGCATTCTGTCCATCTACAACTACAAAAAAAGTAAACAAACAAAGAAAAGAATACCACCCCAACAAATAAGTTGTTTGAGAACATTGAACTGAAATGCTCATACACAGCTCAAGAGGAATGGAACTTCCTCACAGCTGCTTGGTCTGTCCCAAGGCATCCGCCTGATCTCAGCACACTCTGTGGCTGCTCCTCGGACCTCACGACCCTTCCCTTCTCTGTTTGTTCCAGCACCACCTGCACATCCCCACGTGGGCATCCTGGCTCAGCCTCCTGGCTGCTGGTTTTCCCACCAGGGAAATGCCTGATGGTGCCATTTTGATTCAGTTTCCAAGAACTGATCTTCAAGCCGACACAGCTGACTGGGGATGGCTGGGCATAAATTTTGTGATGGCTTAAAGCTTCTCTGGATTGGTGTATAAATAAAGGCATGTTAAGGATGTTTCATGATGCAAAAAAAGGTGGGAAAAATATTCCCTGCTCTAATCTCCTATGTTTACAGTTCACACATTCATAGACACACACAGACACACACACACACACACACAGACACAAATTCCCAGTTTCTGACAGTTGGAAGTTATAAACACATTCAAGTATATTTAGATTGATTAAATAAATAATTTTCATTTAAATGCTACTTGATATCAAATTACAGATTGTGCAGACATTGGCTAAAAGATGGGTAATCCAATTTGTTTTGTAACATTAAATTACTGAATTACTTATGAAGAGGTTTTTTTCCTTAGGAAAAAAAAGTACAAAGTAAAATAATGCTTTTCTTGGGTAATTTTTACAGAAATATTATTGAGGATTACTAAAATATTGGCCACTTAATCTAGATTATATTTCAATCTAAACTCACATTTAGTAAATTGCTTTATTGAGATGCAATTGATATACAGAACTTTGATGAGTCTGGACACCTGTGATGCTAGGTCCAGGGCCCAAGCATCCACCTGGGAGGCCAGGTCCAGGGTCCAAGCACTGAACTCACCCACCACCCACAAACACCCCCATGTGCTTTGGTTTGGTGAGAACACAGAAGTATCCTCCTCACCTGTTTTAAAGTATACCATCCTGTACTGTCAACTAGAGGAACTGTGTGCTACAGCAGATCTAGAACATCCTGCATCACAGAAACTCTCTACCCACTGAGAAACACTCCCCTCCCTCCCCTAGTCCGGGCAACCATCATTCTGTTTTCTGCTTCTATTAACTTGACTGTTTTAGAGTCCTCACATAAACAAAACTGCAGAACTTGCCCTGAAAATACTGGTTCATGCCTTGTGGTACAATGTCCCCCTGATCCATCCATGGTGTCATACATGCATGTCAGGATTTCCTTCTCTTTTGAGGCTGAATAGCATCCCTCTGTGTGTGTGTGCGCACACACACACATGTACCATGCTCTCTTTACCCCTTCATCCACCTGTGATGTCTAGGTTGTCCCTGCAACTTGGCTACTGTGAACAATGCTGCAATGAACATGGGATGCAAACACTCCTCCGAGACCCGAGGTGGGACTGCTAGATCATGTGGTAGTTCTGTTCTTTTCTCTTTTGGGTACTAGGGACTGAACCCAGGGGTGCTCTACTACTGAGCCACATCCCCAGCCCTCTTTATTTAGTGTGAGACAGGGTCTCGCTGAATTGCCCAGGCTGGCCTCTAACTCATGATCCTCCTGTCTCAGCCTCCAAGTCTCTGGGATTACAGGTGTATATTACCACACCCCACTCAAACAGCAATACTACTAATGGCTAATTTGCAATAGGGGACTAAACTGGGAATGCAATGCAGGAAGAAGATCTTTTTTCAGTGGAGTAAGGAGTAATATAAACATAGTAACCAAAGAAAGTTTATAGTAAATCATTGCAAAAACATGACTAATTGCAGGTTGGGCTATAGCTCAGTAGCAGAATACTTGTCTTCCACGTGTGAAGCACTGGGTTCGATCCTCAGCACCACATAAAAATAAATAAAGATATTGTGTCTTTCTACAACTAAAAAAAAAAAACATGACTCATTGGCCCAATTCACCTATGCTACTGATAGACTCTTCTTACCTTTACCTCCTATCCCTGAAATTAAAAATCTGTATCACAAATAATGGGCCCATTGACCAGAAGACACCTAGAACTGCACCTAGATCTAAGCCTGGGCAATGAGTGGATGAGCAGTGTTCAAGCAGCATCTAACAACACAGCACAAAACACCAACTCTGGATCAGACAAGCAGCATCTAACAACACAGCACAAAACACCAACTCTGGATCAGAAAAGTCTGTAAAAATATAAATACTTTTTAAAGTAAAATATATGCCTCCTAGAAATGACAGGTTGAACTGGCCGGTATTGAAGACACACGCAGATACAGACTTAAGGACGTCAGTCATCCAGCAGCCAGGCAGCTCACATTCACCAGCTCACGTTGCACAGCCTCTACGAGGTGGCTGCCCACATCCTCACAACTGCTTAGGTGCTGTCCATGTCTGGCGGATGACAGTAGTGCCAGGAGGAGCCTGAGCCACACCACGGTGAGGTCTGACCAGGAGCGGCCACCTGTGGTGGAGGCCTCGGCTCTGGTGTCCCTGCGTCTGTGAACAGGGCCTTCCCTGCTCTGCCATGTCTTCCTCACTGTGACTCCCGCCCAGAGAGGCTTGTCTAGATACACATTCTCCATGAGGCCCGTCAGGTCTTCTTGCAATAGGGATACCACATAGTAGTGCAGCATGGCCCTTGAGCTATTTTCAAGAGTGAATCATTGACAAGAAAGCACAGAAATGCAAAATGTGAAATAATAAAATAAAGGCACAAAAGAGGTTGCAAAGCAAGACAATCACATGAAGCGTGGCTCAACAGGGAGGCAGGCACCAGCCTCAGCCCTGAAGAACTCAGGACTGGCCCTCCAGAACTCCTGGAACAGAAGAACCAGGACAAGAGTCTCTCAGCGTGGCAGCGTGGACCCGATAATCACAAGGGAAAGGTTGACATGGGTGGCTGAGTGGCCAGCATATGCCGCGGTAGTTATTTGACTTGTTACTAGCTCAAAAGCCACATTTCCTATGTGATGTGATGTAGCTTCTTGAGAGAAGACAGAAAAATTTAACTAGATTCTACTTCCTACTTCTTTATCATTCTGGGGCCATTCAGCACGTTGCCAGTACTCTTGGCTGAATGGCAGTTACGAGTCCCTGGTGAGGTGTGACTTGTTGAAGGAGCCTAGAAGACCCTCCACTGTTCCCAAGTGGCCACCCCCACCACCAGGCTCTCCTTACCTATGGCCCAATTGTCGGCAGACCACAGCCGCATCCTCGTCAGTCCAGCCATCGTCACAGACTGTCCCCCACTGGCCATGGACGTAGACCTCCACTCGTCCTTCCTTCTCATTTTCTCCATCCACCAGTCTGACAGGAAAACCTGAGTCACAATTCAAAGGTATCAGAAAAGCCAGAACAAGCCAACTGGAGTAGAAGCACAAAAGGCTACAAAATACAACTGTTTCAATCAGCCTGGAATCAGGGGGATTTTTTTTTTTTTTTTGAGAGAAAAAGATTGAGCAGTAAAAGCAAGCATGTGTGCTCTTTGGTCACCTTTTCAAGCTCTGCTAAACTGTGTCCCCAGCACTGGGAACAGGCTGACTCTGAGGACATGCACTAGCTATTTGTTGAATAATCAAATGAATAGACAAATAAATGGATGGATATCACAATAAAATCATGAATTATTTCATTACAACTTTGGGATAGTAAATAACATTAACGCAGAGTTGTTTTTATTTTGTGTCTTTTTAAAAATCTTTTAAAGATTTTATTTTGTGTCTTTTTGCAAACGTGGGTAACCTGAACAGGTCTAAAGCCAGAGGAGGGAAAGACAAGTGGCTGACAGGTAATTTCTACCTAAGGCCCTTTGTTTACTCTTGATTCCAAGGGAAGGACCTAAGTCAGAAAAGTTACTGAGATTCCAAAGTCGAGAAATTTATCTCTAGCAAATTGAGGCTTAAATCAGGCAAATGAAATGGTCTGTTAAGCATCCTCTTTCTATCCACACTAGTAAGTGTGGTGTAACTTAACACCCTGAGATTCGCACACCTTCACACAGAATAGCAGTCATTAGGGGGCTGAATCCAATCAATGGCTGTCCTTACAAAAGGAAGTCTGGACACAAGGTCATACACGGAAGGAGGGCAGCAGGAGGAGACAGAAAGGCTGCCACCAAGAAGCCCAGGAGAAGAGCCTAGCACCTGCTCCCTTTGCGCTCGTTCTCCAGGGACCGGCCTGCCCAGACCTTGACCTTGAACTCCTGGCCTCCAGCACGGAGGCACTAAATACCCCTGCTTTAGCCACACAATGTGTGGTACTTTGTCACAGCAACGGAAGCAAACTAACACACACACACACACACACACACACACACACACTTGATTACCTAGGAAGACCATCCTAGTTTAGAATCTAATGGTAAGGATTCCACAATGAAGCAAGCAAAATTATCAGGAGAACTAAAGAGGACAGAGCAGACAGCCAGTAAACAAGATACCGCCTAATACATTTAAGTGACCCATGGAACTACGAAGTCTACCTATGTGAGCTGGAAGAACACGCTGTCCGCAAGATGGACAATGCTCCTCAAATCTGTTTCCACTTCTCCATCCTCTGGCCTAGAGCTGCTGGCTCCCTGGTTCCCATCCTCGATGGATTCCACTCCCAGATAGGACAGGCCCAGCAGGGGACTGCAGAGCAGAATCACAGCAGCAGTGCTGGCCAAGTGCCCATCTGTGCACTACTCACTAGTAGCTGAAAAGACTCGGAGTTCAGCGAGTCCTGAGATGCTGGGTGCAGTCGCCGCACCTGATTCCACTGCCTCAGGAGGCTGAGGCACAGATCACAGCCCAGCCTGTCTCAAGATAAAATACAAAGGCTGAGGGTGCAGCAGTGGGTCCAAACCTCAGTTCCAAACACAAGAAAACAGAACATTGAAAAAATTACAGCTTATTAACGTGTTGGATACTTTGGGGTTCTTTGCAAGAGAATTAAGGTACAAAAGTGATCCTGAAAGACCAAATTCAAACTGATAAAATTTTTAATGTTTTCAATATTCATAGTTTTGGATCCTTTGTTCAAAATGAAGACAACATGCACACATGGAACTAGATCCGCATGTTCCATCCCAGCACTTTCAGGGAATGTTTTTATAGACGCTAAACATAAAAATAATAAAGTATTTTAAAAGTCCAAATGGCATATTTTGTAAAAATAATGCATATGACATTTCTGAACCTAATTTTAGTCATTTTACAACATCACTGGACTTTCAAATCTTGAAGGGAAATTGGAATGCAAAAGTAATTCTACAAATATACTCTTAAGTTCTTTTTGTTAGAACAGTTATAATAATATGTAACATGCTTTATTTCTAAAATCTTAAGTATAAACCATTTGGGAAGATTGACAATCCCAAAGGTACACAATATCTTAATTATATATTTCAAACTGATTTCCAAGTAGTTTACTTTAATTCTTCCTATAACATTGATACATTGTTTATAGAAAATAATAATGTGTCCTAAAAAAAAGTAAAATCTATCACAGATCCAAGTTAGAAGTCTAAGTTTTGTACTGTAAGACTTCAGAGACAACTTCATTGTTAAGGAAATTCCACTAGGACTTAATTCTCTGAACTCCACAATTAACCTAATATGAAGATGAACAACACATCCTACTGAAGTTTCCCCAACTGGCCTAGGAATGCTGCTTTCGAGCATCCTGTCGATCGCAGAGAGTGTCCATAAAGCTGTAACTAATTCAGGAAGAGTTTTGTGCATACTGAATGAACACCGTTAACTACCATAGTGCCCAAGAGGCGAGACATCTCCCTGTTTCTAAACGCTGTTCACATCATCATCTCCAAATCTCCTCTGCAAGCTTCTCCTTCAACACAATATGTTTCAGTAAGCAGGAAGGTTAGGCTCCATCTTTCTATCCCCAAAGACATCTGGCTCATTGAATGTCTCATTGTGTGGGGATCCAGACAATGTTCCTCAAACAGATGGCTTTACTCAATAGACCAACCACTGAGATTAGGATCGAGGAGATTCACAAGAACAATCATACAGTCGATCCACAATCATCACCCTCAGCTTTAAGAACATTTAGACACGTCTAGAATTCTAGAATGAAAATGACTTCCCGGAGACCTGAAACATTAGTTGTTCTAACTAAATCATGGGCAACACGGGCCTTCCAAGAACTAGGATCTTATAGGATGTCTCCAGCGCTGATGGACAAGACTGAATGGACCACTCCATGACCCAAATCTGCTACCTGAAGCCAGAAGATTCCCTACAGGCCAACAGGTTCTGTCTTCACCAACTAAATGCAGTCCTGCATCTCACCATCCTGAGGCACTGAAGCCCTCCGTAAGAAGAGGTGGGAAGAGAGAACCACTGAGAAGAGCCTGAAAATGGGCCCTGTGAGGGACGGAGGGATGGAGACCTCCCGCAAGTGCAGCACCAGGGCGGTGAGTCGGCGCCTCACCCCTCTGAGCACAGTCAGGGTTTGCCAGACACCTGGGCAGGCTTCAGATCTGCCACGTGGCTTCAGCACGGTCCACTACACGATCACACAAGGAATTCCACCTCAACACAGGGGTTGATTCGATCCTCCACTCTGCCTCCTGTCAGACCTGCAGAGCTCCTCAAGAATGGCTCACTGCTCCATGTTCCCACCAGATCTTCATCCATGATCACTTCCAGACCATTAGAGAAGCTAGTTACCTTTTATCCAAATGCAAGTCTGCACAAACCTGTAACTGGGGAGCCAGAAAGGCTCCTGGTGGTTTCTAGAACCACCTGTGCATCTTAGGAAGATGGAGGTAGGACCTTCAAGGAATCTGCTGGGAAACCCACTGGGGAACTCAAAGGGCAACAGCTGGCTGGTGACCAAGGACTGACCAGCCTCAGGACCAGAGAGGAAATCAGTCATGACACAGGGGAGAGACTAATGTCTTCTTTTAAAATGCTGTCTCAGCAGCTCATCCAACTCAAGGAAATCAGAACAGGTGACTGAGGGGCAGTGGGTGAACATGCAGCTTCTTCCACCTTCCAGGAACATGTGATCATTAAATGAGAAATATACCCTTGTAAGTAACAGAAAACAAGTTTATGGGTAGAAATTTCATGACATTAGTGCAGAGACTCAAGAGATTTGGGGGGAGAATGGACTTTAAAAACCAGCTTCGATGAGAAACACTTCACATTCTGGAGCAGGGGCTAGGGATGCAGTGGCCTGTGACCGCAGACTCAGTGCCGGGCCAGCCCTCACCCAGGTGCAGGCCACGCCCCTTGCTGCCCAGGTGGCAGGTGATGCCCACGTCCTCCCTGTGACTGCAGTCGTGCTGGCCCCATGGGCCCCTGGAACACTGGAGGAAGCTGGCTTCCCTTCCCGAGCAGCGGACGTCGTCCAGCCAGATGGGCCCTGTGCTGGCTTCAAAATGGTGGGCAGGGGCTTGTCTGCCATACCTGTGGTGACAGAACAAACATGCACAGCGCTGTGCGCGCCTGTCTCCAGGAATCAGAGACAGACACCTGACTGGGCACCTGCTCCAGGGGACAGGCAGGCCTTGCTCCTCCCCGGAGCCTCACAGCTGCGTTTGCTTCATCACACATTTTAGTCACCTAAACAATTCTGAATGATCCAATGAGACTCAGGGATCGCTCCTTCTTGTGTTCTGTCACAATTCAACCCACCGACCAGACAGAGTGCAGGCAGGAGCTGAGCCTTCACTCCTGCCCATGAAGTGCACAGAGGCAGAGGGAGGACCTGGTCTGCAGGAGCCACCTGGGCTCCCGTGGTCCTACCAGCCTCTCAGGCCTCCCGGGCATCTTCTCCAGGAGCAGAAGTTGCAAGTGTCATCTGCTCCACCCAGTGCCCCTCCCAGGGCAGACCTGGACTCCACACTGGAGCAATGAGAGTGTTCTTGGCTTTTCATAAGGCTGCATGAATCTGACTTTTAAAAGTTTTGTGGATTACATGTATGCTGAATTGAGTTACTCTACCTGTGACATTGTATGTCCCGCCCACATCCAGAGCGGGTGGTGCAAACGGGGTTCCCCTGGGTCGAATGGGATGGCTGAGAAATAAAACCAAGGGAGATAAAACGGCGAAAAAAACACAGAACACAGAAAGTAGTTTCAAAATCAGGGCGGGATGGGCACGCAGATGGGACGATCAGACGGAGGAAGTGAGCCTCTAGACACAAGGGGCCTGTGCCTGCTTTGCGTAGATCAGGAAACAGGGACCGATAGAATGCTCTTCTCCAAAAAAGGTTCAAGTGGGCTGTTCAGTTCCTAACGGGTTGCGCCCACCTCTGGAGCTACTGTGAGGAACCTGCCAAGCAGAGTGGAGGGAAAGGTACAGGCATTGGGCCATCTATTGCTGTGGAAAGTTTCCAGGGCCAGGTCTGTCCCTCCCTGGCTTCCACATGCATTTCTCGGATGGCTTCCTGCAGCATGTATTTCAATGAATCACTTGGGGTGAAACATCTGGAAACTGTCACTGTTCCCCTGGGCTTTGCTGCAGCTCTCGTCACCCCCTCGTTCTTCTTCTGTTAAGTGCAGCACCTGCCAACACCTCTGCCATAATCACCAGAACCCTGCACGCTGCAGAGAACAGCTTCACAACAGTCAGTCTCAACACTCTGCGTGGAAAGGAAAGACTGAATGGGCCCAAGAAACAAAAATGAAGTGTGCAGGAGAAGTCCGGCATCACTGACTGCTTTCACGAACGAGGGACACACATGGAAACGAGTGGCGGATGAGGGATTCTCGAATCTCCCCAGCCTGTGAAGACGGGTGCCACTGTCAAGTCCACAGATGCTAATGACATGTCATGATTGTCACTGATAAACGTTAATGTTTATTGGGATGTTATGTCATATCCTTGACCTTATAATTTTAATAACTGTTCTGCCCAAGAAAATTAAAATTTGAGGCAATTATCTACATTTATATCTTTATAATGGCATTATTTACAACTAAACTGAAATGAGATTGAACATTGATCTTAACCTAAAAATCTAACCTAAATATTAAGTAAACTATGGTGTAAACATTTGATGGATATTATGTTATTATTAAAACTTGTGACTGTAGCAACATAAAAGTGAAAAATGCTGATACAAAAATAATACATCTATTATAAGACTCAATATAAAGCTATACACCCAAATTATAATATGATAGCATAATAATGGAAAAATATGGATAGCTTTTTAATCTTGGTTCTTTCCTAAACTTTCTGTTTTATATTACTTTTATAAATCTTAACGTCTATGTTAAATAACGGCCTTGCCCAGCTTGAAGAGTTCAGTGAACATCTGCAATAAGCTCTAGCTTAAGGTGAGGTGAAAGAATGTCACCGATTTCTTCAAGCTCTGGAATATTACTCCAAGCACGAAGGCAACATGGGGAACAAGAAAGAAGGGGCCCAAAGGCCTTGCTAGTGGTCATCCAGCCCACACAGGCCTTCACCCTGGAGGCACTGTGCAGCGACATGGAGATGTCTCCCAGAGCATGACACTCAGCCTGTAAGTGGGCGAGGTCACAGGGCAGTGCCAAGGTCACTGCCTGACAAGAGGGCTGTTTGTCTCTTAGTGATCATCACCGCGCTCTGCAGAGGGGAATGATGTAACAAACTGTTTCCCTGGGCTTTGCTGGAACTTTAGACCCCACGATGTCAAACAAAGGCAGTGCCCCATCAGGATACAATGAGGCATTCAGAGACTTACTGACAGACGCAAAGGACCTGGGAGTCGCCCTGGCTTCAGCCAGGGTTTTCAACAAGAGGGGCAGGCAGGAAAGGCAGAGGGGACACTGGGCAGGAGGTTCTGGGCTGGGGTGCGGCTCCAGGGCAGAGCGCTCCCCAGCAGGGGCAAGGCCTAGAAAGAGGAAGGAAGCGCGTAGTGGAGGTCAGTGCTCCTGTGGAGTGGGCAGGCAGGCAGACGAGGGAGGTCGCTACCCCAAGCCCTCCAATGTGCGGTCACCATTTTGCGCCCCACCAGTAGACCTTACATGAATCCCAGCTGCCGGCAGGCCACGCGGGTGTTCAGCTGGGTCCAGCCGTCATCACAGATGGTGCCCCACTGCCCCTGGTAGTGCACCTCCAGGCGGCCCTCATGGCTGCCTCGCCCACCTGCAAGTCTGATGGCCCCATCTATGGTGAGAAGGGGGCGCAGAGACAAAGTAAGTCAACTCTCAGGAGAAGGCACCAGAAATACCCTTGTCAGGCCCCACAGGCTTTGTGGAAGCTCCATTAGCATCTGGGGTCACTGCACAAACCTGTCCTCGGGTCTGCACTCTTATTCTCTAAGCACAAAAACACACTCTGATATAAGTCCAAAGGATCTCTCTTCCCTAGATTAAATTATGTTTGGGAAATTTCCTATAACTTACAGTCTAAGCTATTCTAGTCCTTTGCATTTTTAAAAATCAAGGAAATATAGTAACTTGGAAATAGTTCAAAATTCTAACTACGAATGAAAAACACCAGATTATGAAGGCAGAAAAGGCTCTGCTAGGTGAATAACAATCTACCATGTCAATGCATTTATTAATCCTTAGGCGTTTGTGAATCATAAAAGTAGGGTACACACCTTGCCCTTGTTCTTTTAGAGATAATGCATATCAGAAATTTGAATTTTATTAACTCAATGAATAATTAACCCCCAGAGGATTCTATAAAAGGCTTCTAAGAAGATACACTGTACAATTAATTTAATTTTTTAGAATGATGTTTAAAAGCCATTTCCATCTGAGATAATCTGACCCCCTCTTAATGAAACATGAATATCTTGGATAAAGGTCATACTGTCCATGAATATGAAAGGTCTCCTGGAAGCATATGTCGGTGTACTATCTCACTGTCTGCACAGTGCTCAGACACACCTAAGCTCATCTGAGTGCCACAGCTGCAGGACTAGACTTTCATCACCTGCAGGCAGCAGGGCAGCCCAGGACCAGGATGTGCTCTGGCAATTGCTGGCATATATCATAGACCTGATAAGAACAGATGCACAGCTGTCTATAGAGATTTGAATTCCGTATTTCGTAGTTCCTAAGAAGTTATTCTTTTGGTGTTTAAAGAAAGAAATTTTTTCCTTCAAGTTCTTTTCATCATAGAAGCAATGGATGTGTGGTGACAGCTCTTGCCTGTTTTTCCTGTCCTGCTGACCATGTGGTGAGCAGGCACACAAATGTTACTCTGCAGTCAGACTCACCTCCTGTGACAATGGCCCTATGTGACAGACATGCTGCACTGGGAATAATGTAAAAACTGAGCATTGCAAAGCCAACCTGGTGCTTTAGTCAACAATCACATCAATGTTTTATGCCAGTTGCAAACATATTCTAAGACAAGACTGATGAACAGATGAACTGAAGGTGGCTTACAACTTAATGTCTGGAATTCATCATCCCACATCTAGCTTGCTAACTGAGTGCTACAGATGACGACAAAGTCCTGCTTACTTGTCTAGCTTTATACAATTGTACAGCTAAAAAAATTAAACTAAAAAATTCAGAAATATCTATGGATAAGAAGCTATCACCTCAATATATAATTTGTGCTAGACTTTTCATTTTTATTTGGAAGCATTGTCTGAATTGAGAAGGGCCACTCAAGTATGTCCAGGGGCTGGAGGCAGGGGCTGGACATGAGATCTTACCTATCAGAGGTGCACAGGACACTCCAGCATCTTCTCTATGGCCACAGTTATGCTCTCCCCAGGAACTCTTGGGACACTGCTCAATGGAAAGCTCATTCCCCGTGCAGCGCACTTCATCCAACATTATGGGGCCAGATCCTTCCCCAAAATACGCCTGAGTCCATGCCTTAGCAACGCCACTGAACAAACAGAAAAACAAGAATTCTGAGTTCAATAGCAAAGGTTGACCTGACAGTTTTTTGTATCTGGTAAACCCATAATCATTATCAATCTCTACATATAAATTCCCTCCATTGCACAACTTTTTGCATTTCTTTGTTGTTTTCTTTATTTCTGAGTCTGCTAGCTATTCCCTACATTGGCCTGGCTTTTCTTCACCAGCAATGGAGCCTCACATTTTTAAGAGGCAATGGCTATCCACACTTTCCTCTAGATGCACAACGTAAAACGCACCTTTTTAACCATTTTAAGTGTCCAGGGGAGCCACTGCATTCTGTGTAGGGAAACTATCGCAACCAGCCACTTCCAGAGCTTTTTTAGAATTCTGCACAAGGACTGAGTTTCTCCAAGGACATCTAGGTACAGAATTGCCTGTAGCACTTCCAGGATGTCCCCTGCTCCACCTCCTCCTGCCCCACTGGACCAGGGGCTGCTGCAGACCTTCAGCAGCAGCTGTGGGGCTGGCCTCCAAGGTACCAGGTCAGGAATGACAGACCACAGCAGGAAGGAGCCCGGGCCCGTGGCTGAGAACCACCCAGCCAGCCTCCAGGGGTGGCCCCAGCCTCCTTGCTTGAGAGGGAGGGAAGACTGGCCTACCGCTGTCCCCAGGGTGGCTGCTGTCAGCTCTCTGTTACTCACGGACAACCTATTTCTAACAAAATGTCTTTGCACTAATTCATTCGTACTAAATCTACCTCTTCCACAATTCAAAGTGAGAGCATATTCTAGAACCCCAGATTCCAGGGAAGGTGGAGATCGCTGTCACATGCTGAATGACTTTACAAACTGCATTTCTCGCCTCTTTTAGCTTTTTTAAGTTTTAGATTTTCAGCATTTATATTTGCAACTTTTTAAATTGAAGAAAAATTTAAAAAAATAATTTTAGAAAGAATACTTATGGAGTTAATTCATAGCTACGTGTTGTTTTCATCACAGATTATAAGGCGGTGGCCCCATGGCCTTCTGCCCATGACCTCCTCCCTGGGCCTCAGGCTCTTGTGGTGGAGACACACACAATCAGAGGCAAGCATTTCCAAGTGTTTTCATACACTTTAGTGTTTCACAGAAATGTTGTAGTGTGCTGAACAAAGCATTTTGTGCAGAGAAAGCACTGATGTTTCTAGAAAAGTATTTTAAGGCAAATTGATCTTATAGTAGTTAGGTGTCCACGGGCTGCAAAGAAATTCAGACATTCAGAGCTACTCACTGTGGAAGAGGTTCTCTCCTCCCAAAGGAAACACGTCTGTGCCGATGCCAGTCGCTAGCATTTCCACAGCAAATAGAGCTAAGCTTAGGTAGCACTACGAGCAATTTCCAGAATGGACAGGGCAGGTATTGGCTGGTGTAGCCAGCATACACACCAGTATGGGTCTGGAGAAGGCAACTGCTTGAGCTGTGTGCCTGAGACCCCAGGCTCCTCTCCAGGGGGAGGAAGCACATCAGGAAAGAAGAGGCCCTGCCACCGGTCCAGTCCTGCATGCCCATGCTTTACAAGGCCATGAGTTAAGACTGGCTTCTACACTTTATAATGGTTGGGGAAACAATAAAAGAGAATAGGATCTGTTATAAAAATTAAGTAAAATATAAATTTCATTGTTGAAAAGCAAAATTTTACTGGAACAAAGCCAAACTTGCTCCTAAATTGTGGTCTAAGGCTGCTTTTGTGAGACATCACACCACTGAAGAGATGTGAAGTCTAAAAAAATTATTGTGTGGCCCTTTAAGAAAACTTGGCAGACCACTTTTTAAGAAAACTTGCAGAGCACTGTGTTTAAGGGAAGGCAAAGGTGAAACCTGAATGAGGGGGCAGCAGGCTGGAGAAGGAGGGGAGGTCCAGATGGAGGCCCAGGATGGAGGCCCAGGATGGATCTCTGCCCTGAGACAAGTGCCAGGAAAGAAGGTCTATAAAGGGACACCACAGTGGGTACAATTCATTGGAACCAATATGGGAATCATAAAATTAGATCCCAAACTCATAGCAGAAATAAAAACAAAATGCAGATGGTTTAAAGCCGAAAGAGGGGTGGAGGGAAGGAAGGGGGAAGGAAAGAAAGAACTCTGAGAAGACAGGAAATTAAAACAACAGGCACAGAGTTCTGATAGCCTTGATGAGAGAGAGAGAGAGAGAGAGAGAGAGAGAGAGAGAGGTTTCCTGAGCAAGATAAGAAGCCCATAGTCAGAACAAAGACCAAAGAAGTAAATCCATCAACATGCAGATTGAAACCCACCAAAGAGCAAAATACACCATGTATGGGTCTGGAGAAGGCAACTGCCTGATAAAAAACAGCCAAAAGTCCAGAAGAAACATTCATAATATGTGACAGCAACAAAAAGATCTCCTGGTAACGATCAATGATAACTTGTTACAAGTTAGTGAATGACAACCAACATGCGTGGAGACACACTGGGAAAGGACAGCAGGACAGACTGTGGCTCCTGCCCAGTGACAAGAAGCTAGAGCACCTGATGCCAGACCCAACAGCCGCAAAGCGCTCTCACCCCTTATCCCAGCAGAGTCAGAACACCGTTCTTACACAGTGCACAGCTGCAGGCAGCAAAATAAGGCTCTCCAGGCTCACAAAACCCCAGCAAATCCCAGAGTCATGCAAAGGCTGGGGATGGGCAGGGTGGGCTGGCTGACTACCGTGTTGAGGCCCACTGTAAAGTAAACCTGAGGGGAAAACATCAACCAGGAAGTCATGATGCAATGCAAACGGGGTTTCTAGCTGATCTCGACTCACTGACAGAAGAAGATCTGCACACCCACTCCTCAGCCAGTCTCGAGCATTTCCTGCTGCTGGCTTCCAGGGAAAACCAAGGCAGACCAGAACTCTGTCCTGAGAGTGGGCAGTATGGGAAGCGGCACAGACCTCAAGAGCTGACCCTCAAGGCAGAGCTAGGCAGGTTCAGGTCCAGGGTGCCTGTCCCCGGTCCCTGCTGTAGGGACACCATCCCACCCCAGCCTGACAGCCCAGTGCGGCCCACTTTCTTACTTGCTAGCCGTGAGTCACAGGATGAAGAAGAGTGCAGGGCTGCTCTGAAGTGAGGCGGTCACTACTTCTGACCGAGCAGCAGAGCCCTCCTCAGACCCTTAGCCTGTTCAGTGACCAGACGGTACTAGTGAAGTGTGTCCTTTGTTCCCTACACCCTCCATTGACAAAGGCCAAATACATAGGCCCACTCCCTCCCCAGGCATGGCCAGCTGTCTTGGGGGGACAGAAGAGGTCAGAAACCCATGCCAGGAAAACCTTAGGCTATGAAGACAGGCTCCTTCCCCCAACACTGGCTGTGACACTGCAGCCTGAGGGACCTCACGAGTCTCAGGAGCTGCACTCATCTCCACCTCGCTCACAGCAGCCAGGCCCCACCTCCCTCCTGCCCCATGCTGCGTCCAATTCACACTTGGCAGAAAGAAAAGATCCCAGACTGAGTCCTCACCTCAGGACTCTGCTTCCCTGACAAGTCAACTGCAGGGGCACTGGGTAATCTCAGAGGACCTAACTTCCCCACCTCCGGAAAAAGGTCTCTTTCCTGCTCAATGATTTCATCTACCAACTATCTTTATCATACAATATTTTTTAAAATTTAAGAAATAGCAAAATAAAAGAGCAAAGAAAAAATACTTTAAAGCAATTGCTACCAGAAGTTTTTTTTTTTTTATTCTGACAACTCAATACGATATATGATAATTTTATGGGAAAAAAAAGATTCAAAATGGCACATCAACACACAAAAGTGTGGTATCAGCACTCTACTCTGTGCTTGTAAGGTTTGGGATGACATGGGGGTGTGCTTTTAATAGTAAGCACATGCAAAAGAATCCGCATGTCTCCACTGGAACTCTCCTGGTAAACTGCCCAGCTCAACTTACCCAGGGTTCTAGCACCTGGCTGTCTCAATCGACTTCCTCCAAGTTCTGGGTTAATGAGATTTAAGTGTCTTAAGTGCAATAATCCCTTCAGTATTTAGGAAGCTTGACAACCATCAAAACAAGCAGACCCCATCACAACACGAGGTCCACGAGGGCACCTCACAGAGAGTTGCAGCCACCCTCCAGGGAGCATGGTGTCTGCAGAACTCAGGTGGAGCTCCCCGAAGAAGCAACTGTAACTTGAATCAAGCAGCAGTCAAGCTGCCTGCCATCAACCATCGCTTTTAAAAAATGATTCCATCTGAAAGTCCTCAGCCTCCAAATGAGCAGGACAAGTTACCCAGAAGAGGCGCTGTACACCCAGGTGTGCTTCAATGCAGGTTCACAGGAGAACTCCAGAACCAAGTAAGAGAAAAGCAAGAGAATGACGTCATTCGGAGCCCAGGGTGCCCGTGACGCAGACAGGTCTCCATGGGGCTGGGCACTGGCCCTCACAGGGCGGGTGGAGGACCTTGCTGCCAGCCGCTGAATCAGACAGCACTGCCACACAGTACTCCCAGCGAGACACTGTGGGGGGCTGGGGAACTGTCCAGAGTGGGGTCCCAAGGGAGGCCTCAGCTGTGTGCCCTCCAAGAGGACTGTGATGCCCTGGTCACCCTCTTCCTCTCTCCACCACATGCTCTCTGCCATGACAAGCTGCCTCACCTCAGGCCCCAAAGCAAAAGGGCCAGCAGACCAAGACTTGAAACTTCCAAAGATAGCTTACTTAGTGTTATAAACACAGCCTCCAAGAAGAACCAGTGTCATTGAAAAAGAAAAGAAAGAAAGAAACTTCCAAACCTGTAAGCCCAAATAAACCTTTTTTCTTTAAGTTGATTGTCTACCACCTTTTGTTATAATAACAGAAAGCTAACACCCTTGTTTATCTGGAGATATTTTTCCTTTTAATAATTTTTCCAAACATGAATCTCATTATAGAAAGACAGCAATGAGGTAATGCCTGAGAAAGACCTTAGCACCTTACTTAACCCAGGGGTGTATGCAACAATAAAGTCTTTCTGGTGATCCCACCTTAATCTGCTTTTGTATAACACATGTTGCTGATAACATGGTCTTTGTTAAAGAACTATTTATAAGTGAAAAAAAAAATCTTTATCTTTCATGAAAGAATCACAAATTTCCAAAATGGCTTTGACATTGCAGATGTTATTAATATTCAGTGTCATTTAAGTTTTACATGCAATTTATTTAATATTTATTTTTTAGTTGTAGTTGGACACAATACTTTTTTAAAAAGATAACATCATTGTATTTTTTATACATTTATTTTTTTAAATTTTTTTTTATGTGGTGCTGACGATCGAACCCAGTGGCTCACGTGTGCTAGGCAAGTGCTCTGCCACTGAGCTACAACCGCAGCCCTGGACACAATACCTTTATTTTATTTATTTATTTTTTTATGTGGTGCTGCAGATCGAACCCAGGGCCTTGTACATGCTAGGCGAGCGCTCTATCACTGAGCCACAACCCAGACCCTTATATGCAATTTTCTAAGCAACAAAAGGTTGCCTTTTCTCCACAGGAATGTATTAATAGTAATAAAAAAAAATGCTTTCCACCTTGAATTTAGAATAACCCTTTCCATGACTGGTGATATTAACAGATTACACAATACTCAGTTCTTAACATTTTTGGCAAAGACACAGATTTCTTAATAACCAACATGAAAATCAACCGGCACATCGCTGAACACATATAATATAGAACATGTAACTGACAATCCAGTAATTACAGATACACATGCACAGTGGAGTGTTTTATAAGATTCACAGCTGACTATGTGGAGGTTCTGTACGAAAACTGTTTGATGATCCCCACCCAATGCCCACTTTACTTTGAATGTTTAATGACGTCTTTTCAATACAAGTTTCGAATTCACTGACCAAGACAGCCAATGGGTGCTTCACACCTACTGCAAGTGCTTACTGAACTAGGAACCCGCCCTAGCTGTGGACATCTTGGTAAGACCTCCCGTTACTCTCTCCCTCCCAAGTGGGGCTCAAACTCAGGGTGCTCTGCGGCCAGCACCTGCCACAATCTCACGCTCTGCCACCCAACTGCAGAACCTGTTTGCACTATAAATCTGTCCTGAGACTGATGCCTAGTCAGAACTCTCCAAATTATAGCCTGGAAAGTTCAATGATTCATTAATTCTCTCCAGAGGAATCGATTGCCCCCCCCCCCGACACCACCTTTCCAGGAAAGCAATGGCAGTGGACAGTGCAGCTCTGCTGACCGTAAGCCTGCAGGCCGCCCGCGCCTGAGCAGGCAGGCGGCTGCAGCACCAGCTCCACAGGGACCCTGCAAGGGGACACGGAGGACCCAGCGCCTGCCCTCACCCACGCTCAAGTATGAACTCCCAGTGGAGAAACACACATCGCCTGTGGGGGCTTCCAGCCACGTGTCTGATTTGAACAGCCAGCCTCTGGCCCTCACTTCCAACATCGGGAACTACAAGGACCAGACCAACCAGCCAAAGGGCACCCAGAGGAAGAAGAAGACACAGTCAGCAGACGACACTTCAGGGACACTCGCTGGGCCAGCCAGCATAATGGAAAACAGGAGACTGCTCTTGACCAAGAGACCAAGGGACAAACACCAGACGCGCCCATGCCCTGGAGCACCTGTGTGAGCGCGAAGCTTAGGGGAGTCAGCGCTACGCATGACTACGTCAGTCAGGAGAATGACATCTGCTATGCAGGGATGATGTTCTCATTCTTAACAGACCCACACTGCAGACTTGGAGATGTTAAAACAACTGTTCTTAAAACACTTCAAAGAGAGGGAAAACTATAAAAACAATTCCACAAACACCTGAGTAGCAAGGGCTGGAGGGTCAACGCTCACGCTCCAGCATCAAGGAGTACAGCTGACTGAACCGCTGAACAGAAGGACCATGACAGGGCGCTCGGGCACGGGGGGCTCCGCAAGGTGCTGAGGGGCACTTCTACAATTTAAAGCGTAGTATCAACTCTTAAAATATCCCCAACACAGTTTCAGATGATGTTTTAAGTTTGTTATGCCCACGTTCATAATCACAACAGAGAGGGATTAGGAGGTCTGTGGTCAGAACCACCACAGGTGACAAGGGGAAGGCACCACCCAGGGTCTCAGGCTGCATTCCCATTTCCCACATGGGAATTATGTCCTACATGAATTAACAACACCCTTTGTTCTAAGCACATTCCTAACAAATGAGCAAGACATGCTCAAAGGTCAGACAACATTTGGGGATAAGAGTTCAAAGTGAGTTTTGAGACAGCAGCAGCTGTTTGATCAGATTACCCCAGTCTCTGCCTGACAGTGCTGGTCCTTACCTGGGAGCCATAAGGCCTACCCTGGAAACCAGCAAGAACCTCAGCTCCTGCTGTCCTCATGAACAGTTAGAGCACACAGAGCACCCTGCAGGAGCTGCCAAGACAGGGGTTCAGAGCTGGGCTTCCGACCTGCTCCAGGAAACATGCAGTTTCAACAAACAGTGTCTTCCTTTGGGAAATAACAGGTTCAAAAATTTAAGCAAAACCAAACAAGAACAGTAAAAACAAACCTGAAGCCCAGCTGCCTGCAGACCACTTCTGCATCTGCATTGTCCCACTGGTCGTCACAGATGGTGCCCCACTGGCCAGCACGGTAGAGCTCCACTCGCCCTTCATGCAGGCTGCGGCCGCCAGCCAGGCGGATGGCAGGCGATGCTGGGCCTATGGACATGAGATGGACAGGTCAGCCTGCACCTTTGCATCATCGCTCTGTAAGCCTGGAGTGAGTCCATTTCCCTTCTCAATGGTATTAGTTAAGCTGTACCATGTATGTGTGGCAGGCATATATAAACATCCAAATCAGGGTACTCTTGACCCAGTGAGATACTCCATGTTGAGCTACGCTCATTCAATAGCCCTTCACAGTGACAGTTTAGATCCAACTTCCCAACAACCTTAGAGACCAGAAAAGACACTGAAACCTGCAGATTACCGGAAGCATATCTGATCATGATGCTACTATGGTGGAGACACTATTTTATTTACAGCAACCTGAGCTTTATCAACATGCTAGTTATTAAAAACGGCATGTTTATAACAATTGTCTTCAGGACAGAATTATGTTTATATCTGTAGAAATCAAGGAAAATCACCTCTCCTGCAGCAAGCTGGTGGACACGATGCTGCAGGCTCCTCAGCGGACAGCCACCAAAGGGCAGGGTGCAGCTCAGCAGGAGAGGGCCTGGCCTGCCCTGGGGTCCATCCTTGGCACCACAAAAACAAAGAGCACCCCAAGTCTTCCCCTTCTCGAAGCCTGAGGCCCCTGCCAGTGTGCCCCCTCCCCTGCCTGCTCCTCCTCCTCAGAGGCCCTAAAACCACTGGGCGGTACCCACCCAGTCCTCTTCCTTCTGAACCAAAGGCTCCACCAAGGTCCCCACCTCAGAGTCTTGCCTGGACTCACCTCCCAGACACTTCAGGCGGCTCCCCCCTCATCATTCAGCTTTCAGCCCCTTCCTCAGGCTGCAGTCACAGCCCCTCCTAAGGCACTGCCTTCCACATTCCTGATCTCAGAGCCTCAAACAGTTCACGCCCCCCCCAGCTAGAATGAGGACCCAGATGCACCCTTTCTTCTCACCTGTGGAGTTCAGTAACTGGCAGATAGAAGGCTTGTGATAAGCATTTATTGACTGACTGGGTCAGCATGTGATGCTCAAAACCAAGAAAGGACATTCCAAACAAAAATAATACTCAGTTTCCAGCGCTCACTTGTGTTCAACAGCAGATAACCCATACCCGCAGCCTGCAAGGTGTGGCTCAGGGGACTGAGCCTGCACTCAGGGAGCTGATCCCCCAGAGGCAGATTACGCAAGCAAAGGTAGGAGGTCACCAAGGAAACCCTTCAGCTCACAAGGTTGGGGGTAGTTATCTGTGAGAAAGAGCGATGGGTGGGAGAGGGGCTGGAGGCCAGAGATGGGGCAAGAGCACCTGCACTGCAGGCTGTGGTCACCCCTCAGTCTCCTCAGCAGGAGAGCCATCTGTGGCTGCCTGGCTGCACTGACATATGAACACCAAACTTGAAGCAAAACTCCAATTACAGCATATGCATATACCCACATTCCTTCTTTGTAATAAAGTTAAAACACATTAGTTAGCCAGGATGCAAACTGTAAAAGGAGAGGAATGGGGTCAAAATATGTGACCTAATGGTGATTAAAAATGTAAGTTTTATAAGTTATAGCATGTTTATTTTTCTTCTAAAAATTATGAAACAGAAAAATTATGAAACAAAGTGTATGTTTCTTAAGTTAATGGTCCTCTCAACGGTAACTGTAGTGGGGGGGCGGGGATTCAAATAAAAACAGTTTGGAATCACCTACAACCAAGAACCTTCATGACACACTACCTTTCAGTTATCAATGTGACAGTTTATTTAAGATTTTTTTTCTGTTTAGATAAGAAATCGTCAAAGCAGGGCTGAGGTTGTGCCTCAGTTGTAGAACCCTTGCCTAGCATGTGTGAGGCACTGGCAGCACACATCAAATAAACAACAACAAAAAAAAAAAAAAAAGGAAGAAAGAAAGAATGGAAGGTATTGTGTCCATTTATAACTTAAAAAATACAGAAACTGTCAAAGGATAAAAAATATAGAGATCACACAATAAAATTTGGTTAACATCCTCATCATTATAACAAACTAAAAAAAAATCACTGGAAAGAAAATTCTGAAAACTAGTTACTTATATTCTACCTGAAATAAATAATATTTAACATGCTACCATTATGACTGCTAAAATCACCTATGTTCAAAATAGAACTTCGTAAGTTTGTAAAAAGCTAGAAGATCTATGTGACATGACAAAAACACAATTCTAAAATCAAAGAACACACCTAGGATCCTCACTGGGACTGGGGAGGCTCAGTGCTCACTGATCTCACTTCACCAAAAGGTGACAAACTACCTTTCATTTTTGACTGTGACAATTTATTTAATTTTTTTTTTTATGTTTAGATAAGAAATTATCAAAGGGGGTTAAAGTGCTGGGAGTCATCACTGTACCTGAGGCAGGCTCTGACACGCTCTGATGCCACTTCACCTTTAAGGGAGGTGCTGGGTCATCCTGTACCTGAGGCAGGCTCAGTGCTCAC